ATGAGCTAGTATCTGACATATTCATGCTTAAAAAGTAGTAGCTTAGAGAAATCTGACACATGAGATGATAAAAATTTTAGGATTGATAATGTTCAGTGTTGACGAGGATGTGGAGGAATAGGTCCCACTGTTGGTGAGAATGTATATGAAGGGCAGTTTAGGAATATTTATCAAAATTTCAACATTCATGACCCACGAATTCTCCTTCTAGAAATTTTATTTGTGGAAACATTCACACCTATGGTGCAGATAGTCAGTGTGGCATCTTTTAATGGCAAACAGTTGGAAATAATATTCCTAATAAAGGAATAAATTGTGATCTATTGATTTATGGAATGCTATATGGTTATGAAAAGTAATAGGTAGGTCTATATATACTGTCATGGAAAGACCAGTAGTATATATTTTCGTTTTTTTTTTTTTTTTTTTTTTTTAAAGTAGCACCAATGTATCATTTGAGGGTACTTAAAATCCTCACTATTTGAAATCTGCAGAATTATGTTCATTTATCACTTACATGGAATTTTATATGCGCTCATATAAAAAAGGTAGGCCACAAGACCAGGCATGGTGACTCATGCCTGTTGTCCCAGTACTTTTGGAGACAGAGGTAGGCAGATTGCTTAAGGCCAGGAGTTTGAAACCAGCCTGGCCAATATGGACAAACCCTGACCTCTACTAAAAATACAAAATTTAGAGAGATCCAAGATGGCTGATCACTAGCAGCTCATGATCGTAGCTCCCAGTGAAAGCACAGAGAACGAGAGGATGCTACACTTTCAGACGAATTTTTGTTGCTCACGGACCAGGAGATTCCCAGCGGAGGAGCCCCACAGGTCGCCAGCACATCTCTTGTGGCTGGGGAGGCCGTTTTGCCTTGGTGCGGTGGTTCTTGGTGCAGAGTCAGAAAAGCACCATCAATCTTAACACCGCTGTTTAGCCAGAGCAGTGGGTTGCTCAGATTCCGGCACTGGGAATCAACAAGTTGGACATCCACTCAGAAACCCAATTACAAAGACGGTAATTATAAAGACCACAGATGGATAAATCTACAACGAAGGGACGAAAACAGCCTAAAAAGGCTGAGAATACCCAAAATCAGAATGCCTCTCCCTCTACAGGGGATCACAGTTCCTCATCAGCAATGGAACAAGGCCTGATGGAGAATGAGTGTGTTGCATTAACAGAAGCAGGCTTCAAAAGGTGGATAATAAGAAATTTCTGTGAGTTAAAAGAACTTGTTCTAACCCAATGCAAAGAAACTAAGAACTTTGAAAAAAGATTTGACGAAATGCTAACAAGAATACACAATTTAGAGAGGAATATAAGTGAATTAATGGAGCTGAAAAACACAACACGAGAACTTCGCAAAGTATGCACAAGTTTTAACAGCCAAATTGATCAAGCAGAAGAAAGGATATCAGAGGTCAAAGACCAATTTAATGAAATAAAACGAGAAGACAGTATTAGAGAAAAAAGGATAAAAAGGAACAAGCAAAATATCCAAGAAATATGGGACTATGTGAAAAGACCTAATCTATGTTTGATAGGTGTATCTGAATGTGACGAAGAGAATGAATGCAAGCTGGAAAATACGCTTCAGGATATTTTTCAGGAAAACTTTCCCAACCTAGCAAGGCAGGACAATATTCAACTCCAGGTAATACAGAGAACACCACAAAGATATTCCTCAAGAAGAGCAACCCCAAGGCACATAATCTTCAGATTCACCAGGGTTGAAATGAAGGAGAAAATGCTAAGGGCAGCCAGAGAGAAAGGTCAGGTTACCCACAAAGGGAAGCCTATCAGACTTACAGCAGATCTCTCAGCAGAAGCCCTACAAGCCAGAAAAGAGTGGGGGCCAATATTCAACATCCTTAAAGAAAAGAAGTTTCAACCCAGAATTTCACATCCAGCCAAACTAAGCTTCATAAGCGAAGGAAAAATAAAATGCTTTGTGAACAAGTAAGTACTCAGAGATTTCATCACCACCAGGCCTGCTTTACAAGAGCTTCTGAAAGAACCACTACATGTAGAAAGGAACAACCAGTATCAGCCTCTCTAAAAAATACCAAAAAGTAAAGAGCATCAACATAATGAAGAATTTACATCAACTAATGGGCAAAACAGCCAGCTAACATTAAATGGCAGTATTAAACTCACATATATTATTAAGTTTCCCATAATAGTGGGAGACTTCAACATCAACATTAGACAGATCAATGAGACAGAAAATTAGCAACGACATCCTGGACTTGAACTCAGCAAGTAAACTTAATTAACATTTATAGAACTCTCCATTTTAAATACACAAAATACACACTCTTATAAGTACCACACTGGCCGGGCATGGTGGCTCAAGCCTGTAATCCCAGCACTTTGGGAGGCTGAGGCGGGTGGATCACGAGGTCGAGAGATCGAGACCATCCTGGTCAACAAGGTGAAACCCCGTCTCTACTAAAAATACAAAAAATTAGCTGGGCATGGTGGCGCGTGCCTGTAATCCCAGCTACTCAGGAGGCTGAGGCAGGAGAATTGCCTGAACCCAGGAGGCAGAGGTTGCGGTGAGCCGAGATCGTGCCATTGCACTCCAGCCTGGGTAACAAGAGCGAAACTCCGTCTCAAAAAAAAAAAAAAAAAAAAAAAGTACCACATCACAGCTACTTACAGGTTTAAATGAAATATTGGTTGGCTGCTTGTTTGTTATTTTCTTCCCTCATCTTTTTCATGTCTCCATTAATAAGCACATTTATATGCATACCTATTTTTAGACTGCATTCTAGCCCGGGCAACAAAGCAACACCCCTGTTCTCTCTCCCTCTCCCTCTTCCTCTTCCTCTTTCTTCCTCTCCTTTATTCTTTTTTCTTTCTTTCTTTCTTTCTTTCTTTCTTTTCTCTAAAAACAAAACAAAACAAAAAATACATAATTTAGCCAGGGCCAGGCATGGTGGTTCACACCTGCAATCCCAGCACTTTGGGAGGCTGAGGAGGGTGGATCACTAGAGGTCAAGAGTTCAAGACCAGCCTGATCAACATGGCAAAACCCTGTCTCTACCAAAAATACAAAAATTAGCTGGGTGTGGTGGCACGTGCCTGTAATGCCAGCTGCTTGGGAAGCTGAAGCAGGAGAATTGCTTGAATGGGAGGCAGAGATTGCGATAAACTGAAATGGCTCCACTGCACTCCATTCTCAGTGACCGAGCAAGACTCTGTCTCAGAAAAAAAACTTAGCCAGGCATGGTGGTGCACGCCTGTAATACTAGCTGTTACTCAGGAACCTGAGGCAAGAGCATTGCTTGAGACTCTGTCTCAAAAAAAAAAAAAGAGAGAAAAAAGAAAAGGTGGGCCAGGCACAGTGACTCAAGCCTGTAATTCCAGCACTTTGGCAGGCCAAGGCAAGTGGATTGCCTGAGCACAGGAATTTGAGACTAGCCTGGGCAACACAGCGAGACCCTCTCTATTATAAAATAAAATAAAATACTCTCAGTGAGAGTAGTGTCATAAACAATAATTACCAAATTATTATAGTGCCTATAGTTTCTTTAACAGTATCGTAAGCCTCATTATAATAACACTTTTATGTACTATATATCTTTTTAGATATTTAAAGAGCTATACATTATCGTAAGCTAAATCATATATGCCCTCAAGGATTTCATTTAGGAAATACATACGAAAATTCTATATGTTCAGCATTCTATTAGGAAGTATTGAAGATGCAAATATATTGCATAGTTTCTGTCTCTACCTAACTAATAACCAAATGAATAGGTAAGATGAAACAGATGAAATAAATTTTTTAAAAAGTATTTTATATATGTATATATTCTGTTGATGTGCTTCTAGGAATTTGTCCTAGGCAAATAATCCAACAAGTACATAATGACAAATATACAATAGTATTCATTGCACTGTTTATAATAATAATAAATTGCACATAACCTAAGTGACCATCAATAGGTATTAAATAACTTATGATAAACATAATGAAATATGTAGTAATTAAAAATAATTATTTAGAACTATAGTTATTAACAGATAAAACACAGTCTACTAAGAGGGGAAAATAAATTTAATATATTATGTATAATATCTTCTCCCTACAGATGGTAAGACTGGAATAGTCAGGAAAAGTAAGGAATAGAATAGATTTGGATAGACAGCATATAGAAGAGGACGTTTTAAATTAGCATTTCCTAACCTTTTTGGTGAGGAAATTTCGCAATTTTAAAATTTTATCAATTTGCATTATATATGGTAAAAAGTGGTTTTTAAGAAGTATTTTATATCAGTATAATAACTTAAAATTGCTTCCCGAGCCAGGCTTAGTAGCCCACGCCTGTAATCCCATCACATTGGGAGGCCAAAGTAGGCAGATCACTTGAGGTCAGGATGTCGATACCAGCCTGCGCAATGTGGCGAAACGCTGTTTCTACTAAAAATACATAAATTAGCTGGGTGTCATGGCACATGCCTGTAATCTCAGCTATTCAGGAGACTGAGGCACAAGAATCACTTGAACTCAGTAGGCGGAGCTTGCAGTGAGCCAAGATTGCATCACTGTACTGTCGTCTGGGTGACAGAGCAAGACTGTCTCAGGAAAAAACAAAGAAAAAATTTGCTTTATGAATTCTTCTTCTTTGTTTTACAGAATCATTTTTGGCTCATAGTAAGGAAGCTTTCAAATAATTAGAACTATTTAACAGTTTAAGATTTCAGGCATTCTGTGTTACTGTGCGACCATTTATCATATATGCTGAAAATAAACTTTAGTTCTCATCTAATTTACTGATTTCCTGGATTTGACAAGTAGCAAATTGATTTATGGCCCCATGGACAAAGTTCATTGCCTGTGCCTGAGGGTGTGTGAAAATCTCTCATAAGGAAAGGTAGTGTCATTTTTTTTTTTTAATTTGCAAGTTATAAAATTGCATTTCACAGTGTTTAGGAATGCCATATTTTGTGACTTTTTTTAACCTGTATGCTTTATTCCCACTTAGGCCGAATACATCAAGCAATGGTAACATCTTTAAATGAAGATAATGAAAGTGTAACTGTTGAATGGATAGAAAATGGAGATACAAAAGGCAAAGAGGTAAGATCACTGGGTTAAATTGTATTCCTAGTCCTGCACTCAAGATTCTGAATGGAAAACATAACAGTGAAGTACATAATGTTAGTTAGTGCAGATATTTTTATTATTCCTTGAAAACTTTCAAATGATTAAAAATTTTTACTTAAAGGTAGATTCCTCCTACCTCTCTTATGTGATTACGCATATCAATCTTGTTAATTATTTGATAAACATATTCTTGGCCAGGCATGGTGGCTCACACCTATAATCCCAGCACTTTGAGAGGCCGAGGCGGGTAGATTACAAGGTCACGAGTTCAAGACCAGCCTGGCCAATATGGTGAAACCCCATCTCTACTAAAAATACAAAAATTAGCTGGACATGGTGATATGCCCCTGTAGTCCCAGCTACCCAGGAAGCTGAGGCAGAAGAATTGCTTGAATTTGGGAGATGGAGGTTGTAATGAGTTGAGATCGTGCCACTGCACTCCAGCCTGGGCGACAGAGCAGACTCCATCTCAAAAAAAATAAAAAATAAAATTATTTTACCCTAGCTCACACAATTTGAAAGTGTGCTATAATATTTAATTATGTGATTCTATTGGTCACTGTGTTGTTAGCAGTTCATAGAGTCAAGATTGTAAAATGATATTTTAGGAGAGATTCTTTAACTTTGTGGATTATAATTCTGAATCTAGTTTGTAAAGCTAAGGCACTGTTGTTACTGTTAGTTTTTCGGTTTTTGTTTTTTTTAGTCAGGATCTTACTTTGTCACCCAGGCTGGAGTGCAGTGGCATGATCACGTCTTACTGCAGCCTTGACCTCCTGGGCTCAAATGATCCTCCCACCTGTCTCCAGAGTAGCTGGGACTACTACAGACTAGCTGCACTACCACATCTATCTATTTTTTGTATTTTTTATAGAGATGGGGTTTCGCAATGTTGCCCAGGCTGTTCTCGGACTCCTGGGCTCAAGCGATCTGTCCACCTCGACCTCCCGAAGTGCTAAGATTACCGACATGAGCCACTACACCCAGCAGAGGTACTGTATTCATTAGGCTAAAATAATTTATTTACTGTGTCAATTTATTTGAAAAATAAACGGTTAATTGTCAAAATATAGTCTCAAAATATAGTCTCAAAAAATATATACATGTGTCTGTTGTGAACAGATTGACCTGGAGAGCATCTTTTCACTTAACCCTGACCTTGTTCCTGATGAAGAAATTGAACCCAGTCCAGAAACACCTCCACCTCCAGCATCCTCAGCCAAAGTAAACAAAATTGTAAAGGTTAGTGATGAATATTCAGAGGGTAAAACAGTGGGGGACAGCGGTGGGTATAGATATGTGTGTGTTCTAGTTTGAAATTTGTGGACTGTGAAGAGTATATTTTAATTATTGATTAATTTTCTTTTTCCACCATCCATATTCATATATGTGCATACATGTTTTCAAGGATTGAGGTTGTCTAATTCACAATTATGACAATTATTGGATAAGGTCTTAGAAATTTCTCACCTAATTAGGATTTTCATGAGACTAAGTTTCTCAGGAGATACAGATCAAAACCATTTGCTTGTTGATGTTTGTTGAATGAATATGTATGACTTTGACAAAGGCATAATAGCTGTTTTTTATGAATAATAACTACCAACTCAGATAGTCTTTTGAAATTATAATTCTGCTATTTGTTTATTAAAGAATGATTGGAAATGATAGTGTAGTTTGCTTATGTATTATCTGTGGTGATATACCTTAAAACTGTGCTAAATCCTTCTAGCAGTTTCATCTTTATAAAAATTAAAAGCACATTATTCTTACTGATTTTAAAGATAATACTCCTTTTTCTCAAGACTTTTCAGTATTAGAATTTTGTTTCAAAATATAACTCTTTTTCAAACAGATTTATTGTAAAAGTTGTTGAATCTGCACTTCTTGGTGTTCATTTCAACAATCATTTATTGTTTGTTTTGTTTTGTTTTTTATATCGTGTCAGATGCTTTTGTGGGACAGAATACAAAGATGAATATGACATGGCTTTCAGCCTTTAGGAACTTGATATCTTTCAGGGAGGACATAGATAAGCATCTAAATATAGTATGTTAGAAGCAACAAAACTTTGTTTTGTAAACTGTGCAGATGAACATAAGGCATATTTTCAACTCATATAAGATTAATCATATTGATAGTCACCACTTAAAGATTATTAGCAACCACTTGTAAGTAGGTTGTTTTTCATATTCAGCTTCAAAATGAATGATCTTCATTGGAGGATCTTCTTAGTTTATTCTTCCTGGCATATCATTAGCAACCTTTACTCTACATTAGAATTACCTGAAATAGAATAAATTAGTATATTTTAAAAATAAATAAGCATTATTTTTAGAAATATTAAAAAATATAAATCATTATTTTTTTTTTTTTTAAGATGGGGTTTCACCATGTTGGTCAGGCTGGTCTTGAACTCCCTACCTCAGGTGATCTTGCCCACCTTGGCCTCCAAAGTACTTGGATTACAGGCATGAGCCACCACGCCTGGCCTAAATCAGTATTTTTAAAAATATTCATTTATGGGCCCCACTCCCAGGGATTCAGTTTTATTTTACCTAAAGGGAGGTCCTGGCATCAGTGTCCTCTTAATAGTACTAGTACTCATCTGATTTGAATGTGCAGCCAAGGTTAAAAACAACTACTTTGTTTGATATCTTTTTTTTGATGTGAATAAAAGGAAGTCTTCATGAATAAATTAGAGGACCAAAGGTTTGCTGTCTTAATCTGTATAGTATCCAAGTCTTTGAAACTCTTATGAAACCTTTTTAGGATAACTGACAATGCACATTTTATATTATTCTGATACTTCAGTTTAACAAGGGGGTTCTAAGCTGTCTGGAACTACTATTTTATGACTTAACCCCTATTATTCAGAAATAACATTTATTACATGGTTTTACCAGCATAGTATGATGGTTACAACACATATTATTGTGAAGCTGCTAAACCTCTCTTTGTTTCAGTTTCCTCACCAATGAAATGGGAATAGCAGTAGTAATGACCTCATAGGTTGTTGTAAAGAAAGTCCTTAGAGCGGTGCCTGGCTCATATTAATTCCTGGATATTTTTGGAGGGTAGGGGAAAATATATAAAGGAACTTGGATATTGATAGCATGAATAGTAATTCATTAAGATTATAGTTTTTCTTCATTTTGTTTTATAGTCTTATATGTTTACCTAGTTTTGTTTAATTGAAAGAAGCTCAGATCATGATATATATGAATGAAGAGTAAAGATAGAAAATATAATGAACATTTTTTCCTGTCATAGAATCGACGGACTGTGGCTTCTATTAAGAATGAGCCTCCTCCAAGAGATAATAGAGGTAAAATAAAAATTTATCTCTTAATTTTGGCTATTGATTTCTTAGTATGTTCCTGACAAGGTAAATCAAAAGTAAACGTTACCCTCATTGTTGGTATTTATGTATTTATTTAAATTTCCTCTGGCTAATTTTAAGAGGATTTTTTTGGTTCTTTAATTTTTTTTTTTTTTTGAGATGGAGTTTCGCTCTTGTTACCCAGGCTGGAGTGCGATGGCGCGATCTCGGCTCACCGCAACCTCTGCCTCCTGGGTTCAGGCAATTCTCCTGCCTCAGCCTCCTGAGTAGCTGGGATTACAGGCACACGCCACCATGCCCAGCTAATTTTTTGTATTTTTTAGTAGAGACGGGGTTTCACCACGTTGACCAGGATGGTCTCGATGTCTTGACCTTGTGATCCACCCGCCTCGGCCTCCCAAAGTGCCGGGATTACAGGCTTGAGCCACCGCGCCCAGCCTTGTTTTTTTTTTAAGGCAAGGTCTTGCTCTGTCACCCAGACTGGAGTACAGTGGCATGAACACAGGTCACTACAGCCTTGACCTCCCAGGGTCAAATGATCCTCCTGTCTCAGCCTCACATGTGGGTGGGACCACAGGCATGTGCCACCATGCCCACCTAATTTTTTGAATTTTTTGTGGAGACAGTCTCTCCATGTTGCCCAGGCTGGTCTTGAACTGCTGTGCTCTAGTGATGCTTCTGCCTTGGCCTTCCAGAGTGTTTACAGGGATTATTGGTGTGAGCCATCGTGCCCAGCGTGGTGTCTTCCTGAATTCCTAATACAGTATGTTAATACTGAAAAATGATTTTGTCTGGTGCAGTGGCTCACCCCACTTTGGGAGGCTGAGGCGTGTGGATCACCTGAGGTCATAGTTCAAGACCATTCTTGTCAACATGGTGATACCCATCTCTGCTAAAAATACAAAAAATTAGCCAGGTGTGGTGGCAGTGCCTATAATCCCAGCTACTCGGGAGGCTGAGGGAGAAGTGCTTGAACCTGGAAAGCAGGGATTTCAGTAAGCCGAGATTGCACCACTGCACTCCAGCCTGGGTAGCAGAGTAAGACTCTGTCTCCAAGGAAAAAAAAAAAAAGAAAGAAAAATGATTTTTAAAATCTATGGGATGATGGCTGGGTGCAGTGGCTCACCCCTGTAATCCCAGCACTTTGGGAGGCTGAGGCAGGCTGATCACCTGAGGTCAGGAGTTCAAGACCATCCTGGCCAACATGGTGAAACCCCGTCTCTAGTAAAAATTCAAAATTAGCCGGGTGCAGTGGCATACACCTGTAGTCTCAGATACCCAGGATGCTGAGGCAAAAGGATCACTTGAACCCGGAAGGCGGAGGTTGCAGTGAGATGAGATTGTATTACTGTACTCCAGCCTGGGCAATAGAGTGAGACTCAATAACAAAATAAAATAAAATGTATGGGATGAATATGAAACTATAAAATGCAATTTTTAATTCGTCTTATTTACTAAATTTTGTAAATTCAAGAAGAATATCATGAGAAAGAAAGGAATGGGGAAAATTAGTTGACTGAAATTCTGAGCAAATGATTTCACTAGCTAAAGAAAAGTTGAACAGACATAAAAATGTGTAATTAACTGAAGTCTCCAGTATATTTTCAGCCAGGACATGAAAAGCATAATGGATTTATTTTCTACTGTTTAGTAGTTCAGAATTTTCTGGTAGTGTTGTTTCTCTGTGTGTGTGTGGACAGAAGTATTAAAGGAGAGGTTGGAAGTAGAGGAACAGTCCTTCAGTTTAAACACTATCTTTAGAGTCTTGTGCAAATTTATATTTCTTTTAAAATTTGATATTTATATTTAATTTTATATTCTTTTTTCCTTTTTTATAATATTTACAGTGGGAAATTCTCTGCTGAAGATTTGCATATTTGAGGAGCAAAGAGTGGGATTTGGAATATAGGGAGGGTTGACGAATTCTAAGTTGTTACTCTCTGTATGTATCTGATTAGTTTAAATTTTTACAAATGAGAATGCATGTAAAACTTATATTTTACACATATATTTTAGGAGGATTTCTTTGCAGTTTAAAGTTTAAGACATGGAGGGGTTCACATATATTTTTTTCTTCAAATTTATATCTTAAAGGATTATTAAAAATCAAGCTTAGCTTGGGTTTTTAATGTAAATTATTTAGATTGAGTTTTGTAGCTAAAATTACATTGGTGAAAGCTAAGTCTGCACTTACTACTTTGAAAGCCTCTTTTAGCTTATGTCAGTTTGTTGAACAGAATTGATTTATAAACTGTATTGTATTTTACATATATAAATAGAACACTTGGCAACTTACTAATGTAACTTTTAAGTATCAGGTTTTGGGGATATCTCTTCCTTTTAATAAAGTTAACTTCTACTAATTTTTTTATCCTGAATTTAAATTTGTTTTTTTAACTTACAGTGGTTGGTTCTGCACGTGCACGGCCCAGTCAGTTTCCTGAACAGTCTTCCTCTGCACAACAGAATGGTAGTGTTTCAGATATATCTCCAGTTCAAGCTGCAAAAAAGGAATTTGGACCCCCTTGTATGTAAATTATGTATCAAGGATTTAGTCATTTTAGGCATACATGTATTCTCTCTTGGTCATCCTTTTAAGTCCTCAAATAGTAAACAGTCTTAAGTACAAACTTGACTGTAGATTTCATTTTACCACTGTGGAAAATTTAACTTATTTTTATTCATTTAGTCTATTAATTGAGTTTTTTTTAATGTATATTTTGGAGCAAAATTTTTTTGTGAAATTATAGCAATATTTGAGTTTGAAATTCTGAGCAAATGATAATTTCTCAGATGTTATAGAAGAAAGTCTCGTGCCTTCTTGATTCTTTCAATTCAAAGATCTGTATTTCTAAACCAAGAGATGACATGTATCAATATGTTTGAGTCATTTTTCTGGATTCCCATCTGTACGTTGTCCTATCTTAGTTTTGGTAAAGCAGCTCATTAAATAAGGCTCACATAGTTGTTATAGACATGCTTTGTCACTGTGTACCTGTTGTGTATGTGTGGTGAAGTTATACATAAAAAATTTTAATATATGTACTCTAAAAAAGAAAACTATACTTCTGCAGCTTATCTTTTCTTTTCAGCACGTAGAAAATCTAATTGTGTAAAAGAAGTAGAAAAACTGCAAGAAAAACGAGAAAAAAGGAGACTGCAACAGCAAGAACTTAGAGAAAAAAGAGCCCAGGTTCGTAACGTAAACATATATTTTGTTTATGTACCAGCTAAAGATTAGATTATATCAGTGAAAATGATTCATCAGTGAAAAAAATAATTAAGGCATATTTTGGAGAATTTTAAGAATTCTTTAAATTGATATTAAGGAATAATATGAGCGCTTGTGAAAATAAGTTACTATAACAAATTTCTACTACAATGTCCTTTTCATGTTTTATGGGTATGTGTTAACCCTAAAATTTGTTCCATTAAGAAAAAGCCATTGTGTTACAGAATTCTAATGTGTATAGTATAACCTTCAAGAATTTTTATTTTAAAAATACCTAAAATTACATTGGAAAAAATATCCAGTTAAAGTCCTTGATTAAACTGTACATTTTATTATTGTTTTTCTGGTTAATAAGTTCACATGTCGTAGTGAAAGGGGGGAATTCCTTGTGTTTTGATTTATGCCACATATGAAGAGTGGACCTGTATTGTATCTCTCTCGTGGTCCACTTCATATGGTAGCAAGACTGTTTAATAGCAGTGGGAGTTGCATAGAGAACTGGTCTTTTACCCTTCTACAGGTTTTTACATGTTAGACATTTTGTTACTATACATCTGTTACATTCTTAGAACCACTTTTCTATAATAAAACATCAGGATTATTCAATAGTATGTTCAAATGCCCTTAATCATGTTAAACTACCAGTTCAGATGTTGCGTTGTGGAATTGTGGACCTAGTATTATATCCAAACTGGATGAATCAGCTTTTATCCAAAAGTGACCTTAGAATGACTAATGGGGTTTTGAAATAAAGAATAAAACAGATTATCTAGTAATACTTAGCATAGATGCCACCTGGTGTTTCCTGTGGGTACATCATAATACTTACACATCTCTCTGTGATCTCTTAATTCTCACTTCACAGTCTGCTTCTCAGTTGACATAGGTGGTATTATTTCCTAGAAGAAGGTTAATTGAAAGTAAGTTTCAGTAACAGTTTGTAATTTAGTTGCATTCAACACAAATCTGAATATGATGTATGAAAAAAATCTGACTTCTTAGAATGATTAATAATGTATTGTTGAAGGTTAGGAGAGGTTGTTGACTATTGCTATTTGTATATTAATCTGAATTTTCTGTTTTGAAGCCAAATAAATTGTAGTCAGCATTCCAAAAATTGAATTTTAAAGACTTTTTAAAAATGATCTTGGCTTCTGATTTCTTTAAGTTCTATGTTTTGTCCATTTGGGGCAACAATGTCATTACTTAATAATTTTTAGAGGGTCAGCAGAAATAGAAAATGAAGATAAATGAATCCATATTTATACTTTGCTGAAACACTGGATTAAATTAGAAGGTGAATCTGATTAAATGAATTTTCCTAGAATTTCAACTTTCCTAGAGTTATATGCCAGTGGTTAACATGAGCATTATATCTCTATTGCTCCTTTGTATAGGATAATTAAGGTATATGTATAACAGATGGATTTTTGAAATAGATAAACGGTAAATTCAGTGAAGATTCTTTACTTTAGAGTTAACAGAATGCATGCAGACTAAGAGAATTGTTAGTTTGTTTTAGAATTGTTTTTTAATATGAAAGTGATTCAGAGCTTATTATGAAATCATAACTATGAAACTGTATTTTCAGTTTGAGTTTGGGCTTGGTCATGACAAATAGCACAATCTATTTTAATTTTAATTTTCAAACCATATATAACAAATGCAACAAGTACATTATTGTGACTATAATAAATGGTGAATTCTCTCTGTCTTCTAATAGGATGTTGATGCTACAAACCCAAATTATGAAATTATGTGTATGATCAGAGACTTTAGAGGAAGTTTGGATTATAGACCATTAACAACAGCAGATCCTGTAAGATTCTTTGTAAACCATTATTCGGGAACTTTTTATGCCTCAAATAAAAACATGTGTTTGACACTTGCTAAATTCGTATTGAATTTAGCTATGTAGTTTTTCCTGTCCTTATGCTTGCTTATTCCCCATAATTTAAGGAGAAAATCAAGAAATAATTCACATTGATGCCCATTTCCCATAATTTGATATATGAGATATGCTGCCTGTAGAGATGTCCTTCTCAAAGCAAAGCCTCCCTGTCTTTGGAAGGGCAGAGCAACACTTAAAGGAATGATAGCAGAAGACCCACGTTCCTTTCTGACTGTCAGTTATACTTTAATCTCAATTCCAAGCTTATCTTTGGCTTGGGCTGTAGGTCCCACCAACATTTCTAATTTACTATTAGTAATTTGTTAGTTTTCAATGTATCCTGGCTTTTAACAGTAAGTATTGGTTGTTGAGGGCTGCAGTGGACTAGAAATCTAGAACTCGAAAAAATCCTCTACTCTTATTACTACTTTCCTATCGAGGAATGAGAATTCACTGGACAAGGAATGCTTTTTTTTTTTTTTTTTTTTTTTTTTTTTGAGATGGAGTGTCACTCCATTGCCCAGTCTGAAGTGCAATGGCGCAATCTTGGCTCTTCGCAACATCCACCTCTTAGGTTCAAGCGATTCTCCTATCTCAGCCTCTGGAGTAACTGGGACTACAGGCGCCTGCCACCGCGCCCAGCTAATTTTTGTATTTTTAGTAGAGACAAGGTTTTACCTTGTTGGTCAGGCTGGTCTAGAACTCCTGACCTCAGGTGATCCAACCACCTCAGCCTCCCAAAGTGCTGGGATTATATGTGTGAGCCACTGCACCCGGCCAGGAATCCTTTTATAACTAAATAAAACTTACAAAAAAGAATCCATCTGCCATAGCATATACAGAATGTGTTCTTTAACAAAACAAAACAAAACAAAACATTTGTGTTAGATAGATGTATTATACAGGATTTAATAAAATTATTCATAATACTTGTATCCCACATATTTTAGGCCTCGCTATGCCTTCATATGTTTCACTTACTACGTTGGAGCTCACACTTTAGGACAGGAATTGGCAAACATTTTCTGCAAGGGTTTTTGGCTTTGGAACTATATGGTCTTTGTCACAACTACTGAACTCTGCTACTATATTGTAAAAGCAACCATAGACAATACATAAATGATGGGTATGACATTTGTTTCAATCGATGTGTGTCAGTAAAACTTTGCAGAAGCAGGTAGTAGCTAAATTAGGCCCATAGGCCATGCTTTGCCAATCCTTGCTTTATGTTAATTATTATTAAAGGAAGGCATGTATTGGGAACAAAAATTTTGCATAAGAATTGGCATATTGCCGGGCGTGGTGGCTCAAGCCTGTAATCCCAGCACTTTGGGAGGCCGAGGCAGGGTGAATCACGAGGTCAAGAGATCGAGACCATCCTGGTCAACAAGGTGAAACCCCGTCTCTACTAAAAATACAAAAAATTGGCTGGGCATGGTTGTGAGTGCCTGTAATCCCAGCTACTCAGGAGGCTGAGACAGGAGAATTGCCTGAACCCAGGAGGCGGAGGTTGTGGTGAGCCGAGATCGCGCCATTGCACTCCAGCCTGGGTAACAAGAGCTAAACTCCGTCTCAAAAAAAAAAAAAAAAAGAACTGGCATGTTTACAAGATAGTTCAAATTACTTGGCTTTAGTAATCTTCTGGTAATCCTGTTTCTTGCCGGTAGTTTTCTTTGCTAGCAACTTTCCCTATGATCAGCCTGAAAATATGTCACTTAGTAGGATAATACAGCTTTGTTTTTGAGACAGAGTCTTCTCTGTTTCCCAGGCTGGAGCCTAGTGGCAGGATCTCAGCTCACTGCAACCTCTGCCTCCTGCGTTCAGGCAATTCTTGTGCCTGAGCCACCTGAGTAGCTGGAATTACAGGCGTGTACCACCATGCCCAGCTAGATTTTGTATTTTAGTAGAGACAGAATTTTACCATATTGGCTGAGCTGGTCTCAGACTCATGACCTCAAGTGTTCCACGCACCTTAGCCTCCCAAAGTGCTAGGATTACCCACCATGCCTGGCATCACAGCTTCTTTTTTCTTTTTTGTCCTGAGATGGAGTCTTACTGTTTACCATGCTGGTGGGTAGCGGCACCATCTCAGCCCACTGTAACCTCTGCCTCCCGGGTTCAAGCGATTCTCCCACCTCAGTCTCCCGAGTAGCTGGGACTATAGGAATGCCTCACCACTCCTGGTTAATTTTTGTATTTTTAGTAGAGATGGAGTTTCTCCATGTTGGCCAGGCTGTTCTTGAACTCCTAACCTCAGGTGATCTGCCCACCTCAGCCTCCCAAAGTGCTGGAATTACAGGAGTGAGCCACCACACCTGGCCTCCTCATGGCTTCTTAATGTGAACGTAATGCTACTCACAACAGTAGTACCCTTTACACAAAATTATTTCCTAAGGCAGTGGTTTTCCAAATAACAAAATAAGCAAGTTTCCATTAAACTCAGAATTTTAGAAGTAATTATGTCTGACAACCATTAAAATTTATTCAAAGCTAATTTGTTTTTGTTTGTTTGTTTGTTTGTTTGTTTTGAGACTGAGTCTTGCTCTGTTGTCAGGCTGGAGTGCAGTGGCGCAATCTCGGCTCACTGCAACCTCTGCGTCCTGGGTTCAAGCTATTCTTCCACCTCAGCCTCCCTAGTAGCTAGGACCACAGGCATGCGCCACCACACCCGGCTAATTTTTGTATTTTTAGTAGAGACAGGGTTTTACTGTGTTGGCCAGGATGGTCTCGATCTCTTGACCTCGTGATCCACCCACCTCAGCCTCCCAAAGTGCTGGGATTACAGGCGTGAGCCACTGTGCCCAACAGCTAATTTGTTTTTTAAGCTTACCTATCATTTACACTGTGTATAAATTTCTAAAACCCTGGAGGAAATATTACATAATTACTTCTCTGTGTTTTACATGACACTGGTAATCACTGAAATAAAATACTTTTTATTTCTAGATTGATGAACATAGGATATGTGTGTGTGTAAGAAAACGACCACTCAATAAAAAAGGTATGGCACTTAATGAGCTCTAATAAAAGATTGCTTTTATCTGATTTGTAATTATTTTTATAATAGCAAATCAAATTGATTGGAAAAATATAAATTATTTCATTTGTATGTAATCATTATGCAGATTTCTATGGCTAAACTTGTTGGTTACTGCTCTGAATCATTGCCAGTCCGAGTCAGGCTTCACAGTAATCTTGATGTTGTTTTTACTTTGCTGTTGAAATATTTTGTCATAGTGAGTTGCATATTTGTGGGTTATTATCTTTATATGTACAGAACTTACTACTTGTATCTTAATTCTTACTACTTAAAATAATTTTTGTACGTGAACTCAAATGCTGTGAGAATTATTGGGCATTGATTTTTGTTTATATTTTTAGAAACTCAAATGAAAGATCTTGATGTAATCACAATTCCTAGTAAAGATGTTGTGATGGTACATGAACCAAAACAAAAAGTAGATTTAACAAGGTACCTAGAAAACCAAACATTTCGTTTTGATTATGCCTTTGATGACTCAGCTCCTAATGAAATGGTTTACAGGTAGGTAAATTCATTTTAAATCAGAATTTTGTGCTTATGCCATGTGGTCATCAACACCTTGAAATTTACATTGATTGTGGGATGTTTCTTCAGAAGTGCAATATGCTTTTTTATTTTGAGTTTAGACAGAGAATGTAATAAATGCTGTAATGAATATTAACATTTGATCTTTAGGAAGCATTTAATGCTTCCCCAAATCATAGTTTTCATTGCTACTTGCTATTTAGTTTATTACATATATATGTAATATATGTGTATTTGTGTTATATATTTATATATAAATATATGTGATATTTGTATGATTTGTGTGAGATATATGTATACACAAACATATATATACATGTGTGATAAAAATATATCACACAAATCATGTATATGGCTAAGAAATTTCTGGAAAATGTTATAACCTCTAGGAGTAGGATGTGATCAGAAGAGGACTTTGAATTTTTACCTTTTAATCTCTGTACTAGTAAAGAAACTTGAAATGCTGTTTGAGGCACGATCTTGCTCTGCTGCCCAGGCTGGAGTGCAGTGGCACAATCATAGCTCACTGCAGCCTGGACCTCCTGGGCTCAGGTGATTCTCCCATCTCAATCTTCTTGAGTAGCTGGGACCACAGGCATGCACCACCACACCCAGCTAATTTTTGTACTTTTTATAGAGTTGAGGTTTCGCCATATTGTCCAAGCTGACCTCAGACGCCTGAGCTCAAGCAATCTACCTGCCTTAGCCTCCAAAAGTGCTGGGATTACAGGCATGAGCCACTATTATGCCTGGCCAAACATATGTTATCAGTAAATTATTAATTTGCCTAAATCTGTATTTAGTATGTATTGTCACTTCTGGCAAAAAAAGTTATATAAATCTACTTACATTTAAATTTGTCATATTTAAGCTTGGAGATAGTTTTAATACATTAGATTCTTCTGTGTTTTTTGTATTCAACTTACAAAGAATTCAATTTACATACATTATACAATGGTATAAAAATCCCAAATTTTTATGCCAGATTTAGATTTTCATACATAAGTTTGCAAACAATCATTTGTGATAATTATAACATCAGTTTTAGCAGAATTGTTATTTTGGCTTTATCTAGGAATAGAACTGTCTTTGTAACTGCTTGAATGCTATGCCTAGTTGCCCTTTTTCATAAAAATGCCTAGAAGGGAGAAAATTAGAGTTAATAGGACTAAGAATTGAAGGTGTTACAAATGAAATACTTTTGAGATCAACTCCTTTGTTTTCACCAAGTAAACTGGGTAGTCAGTTGTAATTTAAAAAAAGAATGAAATTAAAGAACATGTGAATGCTAGGTAGAGAGATTTATGAAGAATATGTTTAAAGGGGAGTCTTAATTGTTTATTGTAGAATTTTTTTTTAGCTTTCTGAAGAGTCTTCTCTTCCTCTTCATTCCCTCTTTCTACTCCTGCCTCATAAAATATAAGTTTGACTTTTATAATAGTTTTTAAGAAATAATCACAGATACAGGCTTGTTTCTGTGTGTATGATTTAGTAAACATTGTGTTTTCACCCTGTATTTATGCTGCTTAACTTTATCAATATTTATCCTTCTCCTCTGTCTCTTATATTTAACTATTATGAATTGAAGAGTTACACGTTTTTTTGTAGGGAAAGATTGGGAGGTGGGGGTTTGATTTAACTACTTAGTAGGCTAATCTCTAATTCTGTTTGAACAGAACTTTTTTCTACTCTTGTTATTCTATACTTTCTTCAGTTTTGCCTTTTAGAAAACAAAACAAAGACAGCAGTTATATAAAATGTTCTACTTGTAGATCTGTTTTCCATCATATCTTTTTTTTTTTTTTTTTTTTTTTTGAGAGTTAAGTTCTTGTTACCCAAGCTGGAGTTCAATGGCTTGATCTCCAATCACTGAAACCTCTGCCTCCCAGGTTCAAGCAACTCTCCTGCCTCAGCCTCCTGAGTAGCTGGGATTACAGGCTCACACCACCATGCTCAGCTAATTTTGTATTTTTAGTAGAGATGTAGTTTTACCATGTTGGTCAGGCGGGAACTCCTGACCTCAAGTGATCCACTCACCACAGCCTCCCAAAGTGCTGGGATTACAAGTGTGAGCCACCATACCCAGCCTTCATCATACTTTTTAGTGCTCTGCTCAGTGAAAAAGTACTTCTTACCCCTTCCCACCTTTTTATTTTAATTCTAGCAGTGGGTTATACCAATATGTTTGAAATATAATTCAAACCATAATATTTAGGTGTATCCTTTTCCTAAATTGAGACTGTCAACTTATTAATAGAATTCAGTGTCCTATAAGCACAACTTAATATTCTTTATCCTTAAATGCAAATTACTTGTCTACATTCAAGGTAGTCATCATTTTTCTACTTATTTAGATGGTCGAAAGGTATTATTTTTGCAGTTTTTTTCTCTATTAACTTTTTAAAACCACTCATTTATTCTGTTTCTGTTGAAATTATAATACTTTTTGTTTGTTTTTATTGTATATGCTTTATTGTCACCATTGTTTATTACGGAAATGTTGCTTAAAATATTTTGTAGGCGGGGCGTGGTGGCTCACGCCTGTAATCCCAGCACTTTGGGAGGCCGAGGCGGGTGGATCATGAGGTCAACAGATCGAGACCATCCTGGTCAACGTGGTGAAACCCCGTCTCTACTAAAAATACAAAAAATTAGCTGGGCATGGTGGCGCGTGCCTGTAATCCCAGCTACTCAGGAGGCTGTGGCAGGAGAATTGCCTGAACCCAGGAGGCGAAGGTTGTGGTGAGCCAAGATCGCGCCATTGCACTCCAGCCTGGGTAACAAGAGCGAAACTCTGTCTCAAAAAAAAAAAAAAAAAAAAAAAAAATTGTGTTACTCAGCATTACTTTTATTCATCTAAATATTGGTGACATATTCTGACTGATGCATTTTATTTTTAAGGTTTACTGCTCGACCACTAGTGGAAACTATATTTGAAAGGGGAATGGCTACATGCTTTGCTTATGGGCAGACTGGAAGTGGAAAAACCCATGTAAGTAATTTATTCAAATTATATACTGATACGAAGCTAGAGTTTCTTTTCCTTATTGCTTAATTCTGAGACCTAAATTCTTAAGAGTTATTCCTGAGTAATGTCCGTAATTTGTTTTCTTTTTAAAATACAGACTATGGGTGGTGACTTTTCAGGAAAGAACCAAGATTGTTCAAAAGGAATTTATGCATTAGCAGGTAACTGTCTTTTTCCATATAATTTGGAATATTATTCTTAGGTAATATTCAGGTAGCTTTGAAATAAGGCTTTAAAATATTGCCCGGCAAGTATAATGCTATATCGACTATCAGTTAAAGGTTATTAGATTGCTTGAAAAGAACTGTAAGATTATATTCACAGGATTTAAAAAAAAAAAAAAGAACTGTAGGCTGGGCCCAGTGGCTCACACCTGTAATTCCTGCACTTTGGGAGGCCAACATGAGTGGATCACTTGAGGTCAGGAGTTCAAGAACAGCCTGGCCAACATGGAGAAAATATTAAAAAGTACACATAAAAAAAATTAGCTGGGTGTGGTGGTGGGTGCTTGTAATCCCAGCTACTGGGAGGCTGAGGCAGAATAATCATTTGAACCCAGAAAGCTGAGGTTACAGTGAGCCAAGATCACACTAATGCACTCCAGCCTGGGCAAGAGTGAGACTCTTGTCTCAGAAAAAAAGAAAAACTGTTCGGGTGTGATGGCTCGCACCTGTAATCCCAGCATTTTGGGAGGCCAAGGTGGGTGGATCACAAGGTCCAGAGTTCAAGACCAGCCTGGCCAATATGGTGAAACCCCATCTCTACTAAAAATACTAAAATTAGCTGGATATAGTGGCACGTACCTGTATAGTCCCAGCTATTCGGGAAGCTGAGGCAGGAGAATCGCTTGAACCTGGGAGGCAGAGGTTGCAGTGAGCTGAGATTGCACCACTGCACTCCAGCCTGGGCGACAGAGCAAGACTGTCTCAAAAAAAATAAAATAAAATAAAAGAACTGTAAGATTGATTTTGAGGGGGCAGAAATCTTGATTATATTTATCAGTGTATTCTAGCCCATTGTTGGAGATTAGTATGAATTGTTGAATTTCTGAATTTTAAAAAGCTACTAGATACAGTATGAGAATAACCTCATATGACCACCTGTAATTTTATGCTATTTGTAAATCTAAATATATATATATATATATATATATGTAGCACCCTTTTATTGAATGTGACAGAGAGTAGCTTCTATTAACACTATTTTTTGTAAAATTAATATTCACTTTAGTTCTCATTTTTATTATTGATACTATCATCCTAGGTAAAGATTAACTGATTCTTCTAGAAATAGAAAATTTGAGTTCCTTTTGAAAATATTTGTTGCATCTCAATTTTCTGTATATGAAATTCTTGACAGCTCGAGATGTCTTTTTAATGCTAAAGAAGCCAAACTATAAGAAGCTAGAACTTCAAGTATATGCAACCTTCTTTGAAATTTATAGTGGAAAGGTAAGTGGGAACTTTTTAAATTGAAACTGTGGCGCCATATATATAAAATAAAATTTCCAATTTTCACTATTTTTAAGTTCAGTGGCATTAAATACACACATTGTTGTTCAGCCTTTACCACCATAATTTATGTGTATTTAGAACTTTTTTTTTTTTTTTAAGACGGAGTCTCGCTTTGTCACCCAGGCTGGAGTGCAGTGGCACGATCTCGGCTCACTGCAGCCTCCACCTCCTGGGTTCAAGTGATTCTCCTGCCTCTGCCTCCCAAGTAGCTGGCACTACAGGCACCTGTCACCACGCCTGGCTAATTTCTTTTTTTTTTGTATTTTTAGTAGAGATGCGGTTTCACTAAATTGGCTAGGCTGGTCTTAAACTCTTTTTTTTTTTTTTTTTTTTTTGAGACAGAGTTTCACTCTTGTTACCCAGGCTGGAGTGCAATGGCGTGATCTCGGCTCACCGCAATCTCCGCCTCCTGGGCTCAGGCAATTCTCCTGCCTCAGCCTCCTAAGTAGCTGGGATTACAGGCACGCGCCACCAGGCCCAGCTAGTTTTTTTTTGTATTTTTAGTAGAGACGGGGTTTCACCTTGTTGACCAGGATGGTCTCGATCTCTCAACCTCGTGATCCACCCGCCTCGGCCTCCCAAAGTGCTGGGATTACAGGCTTGAGCCACCGCGCCCGGCCTGGTCTTAAACTCTTGACCTTGTGATCCACCTGCCTCAGCCTCCCAAAGTGCTGGGATTACAGGCGTGAGCCACTACACCCAGCCAGAACTTTTATATTAGAGTTTTTGTTATGAGATTGTTAAAAAATGTCCTTTGAAACTTTTCAACTTCAAGGTTGAGAATTCTTACTCTAATTATTATTTTAATCTCTGAAATAATTTTTAAACTCTGGGTGACTCATTTTTATAGAACTAATATTTTAATTGCTGTCTTGTGCTGTCACCCATGCTGGAGCTCCATGCTGGAGTTCAGTCTCCTGAGCTCAAGTGAGCTTCCTTCCTCAGCCTTCCTAGTACCTGCTACTATAGGCATGCACCACCATGCCCACCTAATTTTTTTTTTTTTTTTTTTAACATAGACAAGGTTTCACTATGTTGTCTAGGCCAATTTTGAACTCCTGAGCTCAAGCCATCCTTCCACCTCAGCCTCCCAAAATGCTGGGATTAGAGGCGTGAGCCACTGTGCCTAGCCTCTTTTTTACTTTAAAGCTAGTTTTCTAATTTGAATATTATTTTTCATAGGTGTTTGACTTACTAAATAGGAAAACAAAATTAAGAGTTCTAGAAGATGGAAAACAGCAGGTTCAAGTTGTGGGATTACAGGAACGGGAGGTCAAATGTGTTGAAGATGTGCTGAAACTCATTGACATAGGCAACAGTTGCAGGTAAATCTCATTTTGATTAAGAAAGGAAACTTCAGTTTTAGAAACTTTGCTTGTAGCATAACAAACAAGGATGTTATCTGTCAATACATCTTGGAAGAAAAATCATTGTTCATAAAAACTTTTGTAACATGTAAATGTGAGTGACAATTATATTGATACTATATTACAAATATCTTAAAAATAGGCCAGATTAAATTGTATGAATCTGGTTCTATTTAAGTGTTACAACTCAGTGTCTCATCTGTATTTAAAAGATGAAAACTAGCTAAATAGGAGTTTGTTGATGCTGTTGTTTTAATGAAAATAATGTGACTTGAACATGTAAATTAAAGTTTTTATGTATCAAGTTGTCCTTAATCACGTTGTAGAACATCCGGTCAGACATCTGCAAATGCACATTCATCTCGGAGCCATGCAGTGTTTCAGATTATTCTTAGAAGGAAAGGAAAACTACATGGCAAATTTTCTCTCATTGATTTGGCTGGAAATGAAAGAGGAGCTGATACTTCCAGTGCGGACAGGCAAACTAGGCTTGAAGGTGCTGAAATTAATAAAAGCCTTTTAGCACTCAAGGTAAATAAAATGTATTTAATCATGAAAGGTCTTTTGCTTTTGATTTTAATTTTCTTTACAAAGTTGCCAAATAATAGTACTTGTTTTACCTAATAAAAAGAGAGGTTTTCAAAATTCCGATGCTTATAACTTACAGTGTGATTTTATCATACCCAGAATTTTTCCTTGCACACGTTCTTTATTCTTTTTAGACAGGATAAAAGGATATGTGAGTTGGTAGGTCAGTTCTTAGGCTACATAGGTAGACTCCAAAGGGTCTTAATTAGTCATATTTTCTAGGAGGAGGGCAACGAACCACTGAATTAAGCTAAGAAATAGTTTCTCAGAAAAACATGGAATGGCTTTCAAAAAGTTAGACCAGGTTATTATATCTTTTCCTTGAGTAGAAAAGCAAAGGTTGGAAAGACTATAATAAAGCATTGTGTTTTTTTCTTTGGAGTGCCATGTTAAGAAATGAACTTTTTACAATTATCCTATGTAGTTTCTAGAAATATCTCTTGGAAGAATAAAGTAGGCTTTTTTGTTGTCATTTTTTTTCTTGAATTAGCATTTATTGGAACATCTACACTATGCTTTAAAACTGTTGGCCGGGCTCGGTGGCTCACGCCTATAAACCCAGCACTTTGGGAGACCGAGGCAGGGCGATAGCCTGAGGTCAGGAGTTCGAAACCAGCCTGGCCAACATGGTGAAACCCCATCTCTACTAAAAATACAAGCCAGGTATGGTAGTGGGCACCTGTAATCCTAGCTACTTGGGAGGCTGAGGCAGGAGAATCGCTTGAACCCGGGAGGTGAAGGTTGCAGTGAGCTGAAATTGCACCACTGCACTCTAGCCTGGGTGACAGCGAGACTTCGTCTCAAAAAAATAAAAATAAAAACCAAAAACAAAAACAAAAACTGTTAGTAGAATGTTCACAGCTGATCAGACCTTAAATGTTAAAATCATAGTGAGAGAGCTTTTAAAATAACATTAATTAAGATTACCCTTTATAAGAAAGACTAATCTGTGAGACTTGGTTTCTTAATTTTCAGGAGTGCATCAGAGCCTTAGGTAGAAATAAACCTCATACTCCTTTCCGTGCAAGTAAACTCACTCAGGTGTTAAGAGATTCTTTCATAGGTGAAAACTCTCGTACCTGCATGGTAAGTTTATGTTTTTTATTTATTTATTTTAATCCTGAAGGAGTAAATACATAATATTTATGGAAAATGTATATGTTAATGACAGTCATTTGAATCCTTCTATTATGAGTGATACAGTGATATTTAAGATGTGGTCCCTGCCAGTCTGATAGAGAGGATGTGTGTTATGAATGAATGTAGAGACTAGATTCTGTTAGTTCTTCTGAAGATTACCTGAACTCTTATCTCTCCTGGACAATAGCTGGAATTGAAAGCTTTGTTTTGTCCTTTTAGACTTAGCTATGTTGCCTATAGTGTGCCTTGTGTATGTCTAGGTCAGGAATCATGTAGGGATTTGGGCAGTTTATATGTAAAAGTTTGTCCCGGAAGGGAGAGTACCACACTCTCTGTAGAACTTGCCCTTCTGGGAGAAACTTCACTTTTCAGCTGCTGTGATCTTCACTCCCACAGTATATCCTTTAATTTTTTAACCAGAGAGACTGCAAGTTTTCTTTTTTTCTTTTCTTTTCTTTTTTTTTTTTTTTTTGAAGACTGCAAGTTTTCAATCAAGTTTTAGTTGCCCTGTGTGACAGCAGCAGAGCTTGCCCTCTGTCAAAAAGCTGTTAAAAAAAAAAAAAAAAGTTGAGTGGAGTGGGGGTCTGTCAGTACTATTCCCTTCTAGGTGTTAACCTCCATTTCTGCTCAGTTTGTATTTTAACTAGACTTTATTATCTGATTATAGATACAAGCAAACTATCTTGGAGTTGAGATATCATTAATAAGTCTTTATTTTTAAATAACAATGATAAGATTAGACCTAAATGAGCTGTATGTCAGTATTATTGTCTTGGTCATTTATAACATTTTTTTTACCTTTATGGTTTTTTTTCCCCTGTAGATTGCCACAATCTCTCCAGGAATGGCATCCTGTGAAAATACTCTTAATACATTAAGATATGCAAATAGGTATGAGAGATGGTTCTCCATTTTGAAATCTGAGGGGAGTAAAGCAGTATGTAGTATAATTTAATATCTGATAGGGCATATCTTACTACATTGTTCTTTCAATTTTCAAAAAGAAATGTTTTGCATATTATTACTTAAGGTGATACGTAGAATCATTTTGTCAAATTCTAAAAATAAGTGGAATATGTAATATGGGAAGAGATTGATAACTTTAGTAAAATTGGCCTTTTTATCCTAGAGCAAGGTTTCCATTTCACTGTTTTATTTCCTAATACTTTACTGCATTTAAATAATGCAGATTCTTCCTACTACATTAAGAGTCTGAAGTAAGTGAATATTAAGGGACCAGTTTGTACTTCTTGAATTGTTTTGGTATATGTTGCAGATTATTCTTGATAATATTAAATGCTATATATGGGGAATCTAGGATTTGAGTAAGAAGTGATAGCATAGTTCTTTCCGGTGTTCATTTCTTTTTATTTATTTCATTTTATTATTTGAGACAGAGTCTTGTTCTGTTACCCAATCTGGAGCAAAGGGGTACAATCTTGGCTCACTGCAACCTCTGCTTCCCAAGTTCAAGCAGTTGTTTTGCCTCAGCCTCCTGGGTGGCTACGACCACAGTCATGCACCACCACTCATGGCTAATTTTTGTATTTTTAGTAGAGGCAGGATTTCATCATGTTGGCCAGGCTGGTCTTGAATTCCTGATTTCAGGTGATCCACCTGCCTCAGCCTCCCAAAGTGCTAGGATTATAGGTGTGAGCCACCTCGCCTAGCCCTTTCTGGTATTCTCTATGGGTTACGTTTTGTTACTCATATTAATAGTCTTATAAACATAAATGGATAACTGAGTTATTACAGATAGAAGGACAGAATGCATTATAGACTACTAAAGCAGTTTATTCTGTGTAGCCATGAAATGCCTTTGGAACTTTGAATCATAATGGGTATGTTTATATTTGATCCATATATATTTTTTTAACACTGCCCTTGAGTAACTTTACCACTGCTCTTATTTTGAATGACTATTTAGTGTTAAATTTCTCTTCTCAAATGTTACATTTGTGATTTTAACCTGGAGACAAAAGTCCTCTTTGTAATCCATGTCTAGTATAGCAGTTCTCTTAATTCTAGTATAGCAGTTCTCTTAATTTTGCTGGACAAAAGTATCTGTCCTATTTCTTTGTTTTAATCACTGTGGAAATGTTATTTTCTTAATCCTTTATTAAAATGTAAAATACATAATGCATATAGAAAACTACCTAAAATATAAGTGAATAGTTAAATGTATACTTATAAAGTAAAAACTCCTGTCATTGGTTTGGGAAAGAGAGCATTATTGGCCCCCAAAAGGTTCCCCATGTGCTCCTTCCTGATCACAATCCTGAATAACATGCCTTATTCATTTATCTCTATCCTGACGTAACTCATGTCCTAACTTCTGTGCAATACTTTTCTCGCTTTTTTTTTTTCTTTTTTAAAAAATAATTTTACGCTGGGTGCAGTGGCACATGCCTGTAGTCCCAGCTACTTGGGAGGCTGAGGTGGGAGGATTGCTTGAGCCCAGGAGTTCTGGGCTGTAGTGTTCCATGCCGATCAGGTGTCTGCACTAAGTTCAGCATCAGTATGGTGACCTCCCGGGAGCGGGGGACCACCAGGTTGCCTAAGGAGGAGTGAACTGGCCCAGGTCAGAAACGGAGCAGGTCAAAACTCCTGTGCTGATCAGTAGTGGTATTGCACCTGTGAATAGCCACTGCAGTCCAGCCTGGGCAACATAGCAAGACCCCATCTCTAAATAATAATAATTATTATTATTATTTTACTACCTATGAATGTATCTCTGAGTAACATAGATAGCTGTATTTGAACATTACACAAATGCTATAACCCCCCCATTTTTTTTGCATCTTGTTTCTTTTGTTTTAACTAAAGAGATTTTTTTAATGGTAGTAAACACTGTTGGACAGTATAAACCTATTGAGCTTTTGTAAAAAGGTATTAAGATATAATCACTTCTTTAAAAATGTAATAGGGTCAGGCATGGTGGCTTACGCTTTTAATCTCAGTGCTTTTGGTGGCCCAGGAAGGCAGATTGCTTGGGCCCAGAAATTTGAGACCAGCATGGGCAACATGGTGAAACCCCATCTCTACAGGAAATTTAATAATTAGCCCGGCGTGGTGGCACGCATCTGTAGTCCCAGCCACTCGGGGCTAAAGCAAGACGATTGCTTGAACCAGGGATGTTGAGGCTACAGTGAGTTGTGATTGTACCACTGCACTCCAGCCTGGGCAACTGAGCAGACCTTGTCTTTTAAAAAAAAAAGTAATAGAACATTTCTAAATATGAAATATTGTATTTTCTAAATTTAATCTCTTTTAAAGTTTGAATTATGAGCTCCTAACTGCAAATTCTTACTGTGTTAGTTTTAACTGATATTGGTAATTAACATTTTTATATGTGGGATTTTTATCATTAAAATGCTTCGTATTTCAAAATTATTCATGAGAAAGGTGAGGAACAGCAGAGTGTAGAATATTCTTGCCATGTTGTAGAATTAAAACTCCTCTGTTTTTTAAGATTTGAGACTGCAAAAGATTCCTCCCTAATACTGTGAAAATGCTATATCTAGCTGTTTCTCTAGTTCACTTAGGTCCAAGTCAAATGTTTTAACCTACTATTATATCATGTAACTCACTTGCAACATGACTAACCATTTAGGACACTGTATTAATCCTGTTCTCACACTGCTACGAAGGAATACCCAAGACTGGGTAATTATGAAGGTTTAATTAACTCACAGTTCAGCATGGCTGCAGAGGCCTCAGGAAACTTAGAGCATGGTGGAAGGTGAAGGGGAAGCAAGGAACCTTCACAAGGTGGCAGGAAGAAGAGCCAAGCAAAGTGGGAAGAGCCTTCTATAAAACATTCAGATCTTGTGAGAACGCACTATCACGAGAACAGCATGGAGGAAATTGCCCCCCATGATTCAGTTGCCTCTACCTGGTCTCTCCCTTGACACACGGAGATTATGGAAATTATAATTCAAGATAAGATTTGGGTGGAGACACAAAGCCTAACCATATCAGACACATAATCTTTTCAATTTTATTCCAAATCTCTTGGAATAAAGATTTTCAACCTCCCTTGATACCAATGTTTTATGACTTTAAGAGTCAATAGCTTCATTTTTTTTTTTTTTTTTTTTTTTTTTTACAGCAAAGAGAATTTCTTTCTTTTATACTAAATCTACCTGACTTTATTTAGGCCAATACTTTGAGGTGGTGGGTAGGTGGCATTACATTAAAATTTCCATTTTTTTTTTTTTAAAGCAAATGATGAATGGTTTTGCTGTAAAAATTTCCATATTTTTAGGAAACTATTTCTCTTAAGTGTTTAAACTTTTTTTGTATTTAAGTCATAGCTTAGTAATTGAAGTGTTATTTCTTGGGATGAAATAGATTTAATACCTTCCTCACTACTTGATGGTAGCAAAGCCTCAGGAAAGTTACTAACCTCTCTCTGTCCATATTTCCTCATCTTTAGAATGGAGAGTTAATGACCATGTCCATCTTAAAGGATTGTTTCTGAGGAGGGACCTATGTCAAATGTTCAGCACAGTGCCTGAAATATATTGTGTATCAATTGTTATTGCTATGGCTACTTTAGTGAGCAGTTCTGTCTTAAAAATTCAGTTAGACAGATATCAAAGTAGTTTTTTTTAAAAAAAATATCCTTATATTAGTCAAAATAATATACTTTCAAAGTTTTTTGTGGGGATTGTGGGATAGTTTGTTAACAGTACACATTACTGGTGGTAATTAAGTTGACAGGTCCAGTTGCAATCAGATGACAATTAGAAATATTTATTTATTTACTTACTTACTTATGACAGTGTCTTGCTGTGTCACCCAGGCTGGAGTGCAGTGGCCTGATCTCAGCTCACTGTAGCCTCTGACTCCATGGTTCAGGCGATTTTCCTGACTCAGCCTCCTGAGTAGCTGGGATTACAGGCACCTGTCACCATGCCCAGCTAATTTTTTTGTAATTTTAGTAGACACGGAGTTTTGCCATGTTGGCCAGGCTGGTCTCAAACTCCTGACCTTAAGTGATCTGCCTGCCTTGGCCACCCAAAGAGCGGGGGTGAGCCACTGCACCCAGCCAGGCAATTAAAGATATTTTATAGGAGCATTCAGGGGAAAACTTTCAGAGTAGAAGGAATGGTTGTCCCAAGGAAAAAAAATGTATAGAATATATGAGAAACAGACAGTGGTCTCTATCCTGTAGCAGAGATACTTAATCTTTGGGTCATGAAAGACGTTACAGTGATTGGGTCTTGGGTAGAAGAGTGATTAAAGTGTTGAGGAGCTTTTAGTAACATTTGAAGAATATGATTCTTATACATAGTATAGTTTGGCTTGGGCAAGAGAGCTTTGGATAGAGGAAAAAATGTGTAGATGAAGCTAATAGGGTGTCTAAATTAAAATACTTAGATAAGAAATGGGGTGGGAGTGAAAATAAGATAAGAAATGGGGTGGGAGTGAAAATAGTTGTAAGTATTAGAAATTTGGATTTTTCAGGCCAGACACAATACTTCATGCCTGTAATCCCAATACTTTGGGAGGCCAAGGCAGGAGGATCATTTGAGTCCAGGAGTTTGAGACCAGCCTGAGCAACATAATAAGACCCCATCTCTACAAAAAATAAAAAAATAGCTGGGGGTGGTGGCATGCCACTGGTAGTTCCAGCTGAGATTAAGGTAAAGGCTGAGGTGGGAGGATCGCTTGACCCCAGGAGGTCAAGGCTGTAGTGAGCCATGATTGAGCCACTGCAGTATAGCCCAGGTGATACAGTGAGACCTTATCTCAAAAAGAAAGGCCGGGCACAGTGTCTCATGCCTGTAATCCTAGCACTTTAGGAGGCCGAGGCGGGCGAATCACAAGGTCAAGAGATCAAGACCATCCTGGCCAACATGGTGAAACCCTGCCTCTACTAAAAATACAAAAATTAGCTGGGCATGGTGGTGCATGCCTGTAGTCCCGACTACTTGGGAGGCTGAGGCAGGAGAATAGCTTGAACCCAGGAGGCGGAGGTTGCGGTGAGCCAAGATTGTGCCATTGAACTGTAGCCTGGTGACAGAGTGAGACTGTGTCTCAAAAAAAAAAAAAAAAAAAAAAAAAACAGAAAAAAGGCAAGAAAAAGATATTTGGATTTTTCAGCATGTATGGTTAATAAACTTTGAAGGATAAAGGGCAGATGAATCCAATATTGAACCTTTGACAGTAGCTATTACCAATAGCTTAGAGAGATTGTCAGTAGAGGAAATATATTAGTTTGATTTATATGAAGATAGTGACACTTGTTTTTGACCTGTAAAGAAGGGAATTTCATTTAGTTCAACCTAAGAGAAGTCACAAGAAAATAAAAGAATATGGTTATTATATTGAAGTGTTTAAATAACACAGAATTTGTACTCAGGGCTAGGTTTTAACCTCAGTTATGCCACATTCTCAGTGAATGACCTTAGATAGGATACCTTATTTTTGAGAATAAAAAATGTTTCTCATCTATAAAATCAAAGATTGTTGAAGGATGAAATAATATAATGCCTAAAAATTACTAATCCTAATACCTGACATATAGGAAGTACTTAATAAATATTTTATATTTGTATGTAATAAGGTTGGCCCAAAGGGGACATGAATTACATAGATGGGGTGAGAAAAGTCATAATTTGGTTAAATATAACTATTAAAGGTGTTAGCAAAAGCAATTTTAAATTTCATTGCTAAAGGCTGTTCTTAACCAGAGTTCTTCATCTGAATCACCAGCCACTGAAAATAGAGTGGATATTTTCTCATTTACACTAAGAATATTTCATAGCCAGTGCCATTCTGGCTATGAAATATTCCTATGCATCATAGGAAAGAAGTTACTTCATTATAAATAATGGATGGCTTAAGGCAGGTGTCCCCAAACTGCGGCCCCCTGAGGCCATTTATCCGGCCCCCCGCCGCACTTCAGGAAGGGGCACCTCTTTCATTGGTGGTCAGTGAGAGGAGCACAGTATGTGGCAGCCCTCCAACGGTCTGAGGGACAGTGAACTGGCCCCCTGTGTAAAAAGTTTGGGGATGCCTGGCTTAAGGGATTAGGACTTAATTCCCTTGTATCCTGTTTGAAGACTGCAAAAATGCCAAAGACTCTGAATGCTAATAAACAAATAGTCATGGTACTGACCATATGAGGAAATTAGATTGAGTGGTCATGTAGTTAAAGGGGCATTTCAGATTTAGGTGATTTAGTTAAATGTCTAGGAAGGATTATGAGAAAAGAGGAAAATAGACAAGAAAGGAAAGATTAAGGATTATAGAGCAGGGGATTAATAGAACAAAGATTCAAAAATGTCTTAAAATGTGTTATTTGTAAAATAATACTCTAAATACATTGTCACAACAATATCGATATTCTTTTCTAAACAAAAGTAAATACTAAATCAAAATGTGTAATGTGCATTGCTGTCTTTACAAGAGCATTTTCTTTTAATTTGTTGCTCTTTTGGTGCTGCAGAGTAAAGGAGTTTGGAATTAGTCCATCAGACATTCCCTTCTCACAGGGTAGTGGCAGTCGCCCTGATCTCTCTCCTTCTTATGAATATGACGACTTTTCTCCTTCAATTACCAGGTCTACTTCATTCTATAAATAAGATGTTTATTTTAATAGTTTCTTTTGATTTGTGCTTTGTATAAACATTTCATTTGCTATTTTTGTCCTGAGCCATTTTAGTTTTCATTTTCATTTCATTTGGCAGGTGGTGGTTGTACTGCATGATCTGCATTCTTATGTCCTTTATTAATCTATTTGCTTTAAAATGTTGATTTAGAATTCAGGCTTCCTATTTCTCCCTCATATTTTTAAGGATGATGTCACTTTTGCATACTTACCACTAAAAGATAAATTGTTAAAAGATAAATTATCTTGCTTAAAATGAAGACTTTGCCTTTATTCTGTATGATCTTACAAGTTTCCTTCTCTGCAAGGAGCCTCTTGACATAGGAAGTTTACCCTCTCTTGGCCAGGCATGATGGCTCATGCCTGTAATCCCAGCACTTTGGGAGGCAGAGGCTGGTAGATCACCTGAGGTTGAGAATTTGATACCAGGCTGGCCAATATGGTGAAAACCTGTCTCTACTTTAAAAAAAAAAAAATCATTGGTTGTTTTTTTTTTTTTTTTAAAGAAAAGAAAGTTTACCCTCTCCCAAATGTGTAAGTTTAAGTATAATGAGTAAACACTTTGAAAATGATAAAACTTAAAATCTTATAATCTTTATACATTACAAATAAAATTATTTTACATGTAGCTATTTTAATTGAGCATGATAACTACCAGAAATCTGCAGGATTTTTGTTTTGTTTCAGCAGTGATGTATTTATTGGTCTAATTGCTATTGTTGACATTTTTCTGTTTATCTAATTTAATTGCAATAACATCAACTTTGATGAGCCAGTAGTAAAAAAATTGAAAATTAAAAAAACTTTTTTTTTTTTTTTTTTTTTTTTTTTGAGACAGAGTTTCACTCTTGTTACCCAGGCTGGAGTGCAATGGCGCGATCTCGGCTCACCGCAACCTCTGCCTCCTGGGTTCAGGCGATTCTCCTGCCTCAGCCTCCTGAGTAGCTGGGATTACAGGCACGCGCCACCATGCCCAGCTAATTTTTTTGTATTTTTAGTAGAGACGGGGTTTCACCATGTTGACCAGGATGGTCTCGATCTCTTGACCTCGTGATCCACCCGCCTCGGCCTCCCAAAGTGCTGGGATTACAGGCTTGAGCCACCGTGCCCGGCTAAAAAAACTTTTAATTGCAACAAGTTTTTTCTTTGAATACTGAATCTATATACTTTGTTAATTCTCGTTTAGTTTGCACAATAATTATATTTGATATAATTAATCAATATATGAATTACATAAAGTTGCCTAAGCAGATTTCCTAAAATTAAACAACGATTTATGTGTTTCTACAGATTTCAGATAAATTTTACCTATAAAGGTGACATCATCAATCTTAGTATGTTAAACTGAATTGCGTGTATATTGAATAGGTTGGTATTTTCTTGTTCCTCTGCATGAGTGTTTTTAACTTTGATGCCTCTTATGTATTTATAGGGTGAAAGAATTGACTGTAGATCCAACTGCTGCTGGTGATGTTCGTCCAATAATGCACCATCCACCAAACCAGATTGATGACTTAGAGACACAGTGGGGTGTGGGGAGTTCCCCTCAGAGAGATGATCTAAAACTTCTTTGTGAACAAAATGTGAGTGACTTACTATAATTGTAAATGATATCATCTTAGTTCATTTCATCAGTAGCAGAACTTAACTGAAAACTATCATTGAAATGTGGAGTCAGGCTGTGGGTGTGGTGGCTCAAGCCTATAATCCCACCAATTTGGGAGGCTGAGGTGAGAGGACTGCTTGAGGCCAGGAGTTCAAGACCAGCCTAGACAATTTAATGAGACCCTTTCTCTACAAAAACATTTAAAAATCAGCCAGGTGTGGTGGTATGTATTTGTAGTTCTAGCTACTAGGCAGGCTAAGGCAGGAGGATTGCCTGAACAGAGGGATTCTGGGCTGCAGTGGGCTGTCATACCATCACTGCACTCTAGACTAAGTGACAGAGCAAGACCTCGTCTCTTAAAATAAATGAATAAATACGTCAGGGGTCAGCAAACCACAGCCTATGGGCCAGCCATCTGTTTTTACAAATAAATTTTATTGGCACATATCCATGCTTACTCTCCTAAGGTTGTCTGGCTGCTTTCATATCATAACAGCAGTACAGAGACTGCGGCTTACAAACCCAAAACATGTATTACCTGGCTCTTTAAGGAAGTTTCCAGCCCCCAATATAAACTATTTATTTATTTTTTCCCCTCAGATTTTTGCTGATATTACAATTTGGGAAATTTTAAAAGTAATATAGGGAAAAACAACATTTAAAATTATACATATAATAAATATCTTATTAAAAAGCTTAAAAACAGGCCAGGCGTGGTGGCTCATGCCTGTAATCCCAGCACTTTGGGAGGCCAAGGTGGGCAGATCACTCGAGGTCAGGAGTTCAAGACCAGTCTGGCCAACGTGGTGAAACCCCGTCTCTGCTAACAATATAAAAATTAGCCTACTGTGGTGGCATGTGCCTGTAGTCCCAGCTACTCAGGAGGCTGAGACACAAGAATCATTTGAACCTGGGAGACAGAAGTTGCAATGAGCCAAAATATTGCCACTGCACTCCAGTCTGGGCAACAGAGTTAGACTCCATCCCCTCCGCTCCCCCTCCCCAGAAAGGCTTAAAAACAAAAGAACTATGGACATATGCATCGTTTTTTTTTCTTTTTTTTGAGATGGAGTCTCACTCTGTTGCCCAGGATGGAGTGGAGTGGTGTGATCTCAGCTCACTGCAACCTCCATTTCCACCTCTCAGGTTCAAGCAATTCTCCTGCTTAATCCTTCCAAGTAGCTGGGATTACAGGCTCACACCATCATGCCAATTTTTGTATTTTTAGTAGAGACAGGGTTTCACCATGTTGGCCAAGATTGTCTCAATCTCTTGACCTCATGATCCGCCTGCCTTGACCTCCCAAAGTGCTAGGATTACAGGAGTGAGCCACCATGCCCGGCCATGCATCTATATTGAAAGGATGCATTCACTGTATTAACATCAAACAGCAAAATGCTAACATTTGTTAAATCTGGTTGCTTTTTTTTTTTTTTTTTTTGAGACGGGGTTTCGCTCTGGTTACCCAGGCTGGAGTGCAATGGCGCGATCTCGGCTCACCGCAACCTCCACCTCCTGGGTTCAGGCAATTCTCCTGCCTCAGCCTCCTGAGTAGCTGGAATTACAGGCACATGCCACCATGCCCAGCTAATTTTTTGTATTTTTAGTAGAGACGGGGTTTCACCATGTTGACCAGGATGGTCTCGATCTCTTGACCTTGTGATCCACCCACCTCGGCCTCCCAAAGTGCTGGGATTACAGGCTTGAGCCACCGCGCCCGGCCAATCTGGTTGCTTTTCTATATGACTGAAAATTTTTAATAATACTTCATAATTTAAATTTTTGATTCCCCAATTACTAAAAAAGGTAAAATATATGCCCATTGTATAAGGACAGAAAGAATAAAGAAAGAAAAAGTTATATATAATACATTGTCACATAATTGCTTTTAATGTATTGAGAGTGTTCTGTGTGTGAGATGTAAAGGTGTGTTTTTAAAATGCATATTCTGGGCCAGGCACAGTGGCTCATGCCTGTAATCCCGGCACTTTGGGAGGCCGAGGCGGGTGGATCACGAGGTAAAAAGATCAAGACTATCCTGGCCAACATGGTGAAACCCCGTCTCTACTTAAAAAATACAAAAATTAGCTGGGTGTAGTGGCGTGTGCCTGTAGTCCCAGCTACTTGGGAGGCTGAGGCAGGAGAATAGCTTGAATCCAGGAGGCAGAGGTTGCAGTGAGCCAAGATCGCGCCACTGCACTCCAGCTTGGTGCCTGGCAACAGAGTGAGACTCTGTCTCAAAAAAAAAGAACAACTGCATATTCTATGCAGTTTTGTTTCATTCTGTTCCCACTAAGTCTTATCATGGCATTTTCTCATGTTATAAGTTAGCATTGATTAGTTGCTTACTAATCAATGACGTACATTGCTAAGCATTTTATTTATTATCTGATCTCATGACAACTCAATGTAGTAGGTACTGTAATTATCCCTACTTTATAACTGATATTCTAAGGTTTAAATAATTTGACCAAGATTTTGTAAGTAGTAAGTACTGAAGCCAGGATTGAAACTTAGATCTTTCTTATTCCAGCACCAAACCTTGTATCAATTAAACTGCTACCTGCAATACAGTATTCTTTGAAAACAACATACCTTTAGTTAGTTCTAATACTTTGTAGCAGATATTTAGTCCAAAATATTCTAGAGTAACAAATACACATACCACTTTTTGTTACCGTGTTCCAAATCACTATTATTAAAGCAGAACTTAAAGCACTGGTTCTTAACTAGGAATAGTTTGGCCCCCCTAAGGCAAAATGTATGGACATTTTTGGTTGTCACTAGTGAGGTGATGCTGCTAGCATACAGTGGGTAGAGCCAGGAATGCTGCTGAACATCATACAGTGCTCAGGACTGTCCTTCTCACATTACCCCATACAATGTCAATAGTTCCAAGACTGGGAAAACCTAGTTCAAAGTAATAGTTCTAAACTTTGAACCATAGAAACTAAAAATGAGATCCTGGTCTCAGTCCATCACTTGTGTCCAGAATTTTTAAGAGAGATTGTAGTTGCTTTTAGATTCTTCAAAGCAAACACTGCATTGCATCTAGATGTTACCTATCCCAAAGATGTGGAAAACCAGAACAAGATAAGCACTCCCTATAGCGTATCTTTCCATTTTATTCTTGCATCTGCTGGGCCTCTGTAGAGCCTTAATTTGGAGAGGTTAGGCAGGCGACCAGAACTAATCCGGGGGAGCATGGTATCATAAATTTTTGCAGCCTCCATGTTTGAGAGAGTGTGCATTTCTATCACTTTTGCCACCTCTGGTGCATTATCTTGTGATGACTCAGCATTAGCCTTTAGTTAGGTATTGGTGCATATGTACATATTCTTATTGCTATATTGTCTTAACAAAGTAGATGAAAATGGAACAGCATCTAAGACATGCTCTAGAGATCAGTTTTTTTGGTTTTACTTTGAGATGGTGTCTCACTCTGTCCACCAGGCTGGAGTGTGTGATGGCACAATCTTGACTTACTGCAACCCGCCCTCAAGGGTTCAAATGATTCTCCTGCCTCAGCCTCCCAAGTACCGTACCTGGGATTACAGGAGCACACCATCATGCCAGCTAATTTTTTGTATTTTTAGTAGAGATCGGGTTTCACCATGATGGCCAAGCTGGTTTTAAACTCCTGACTTCAAGTGATCCACCTGTCTTGGCCTCCCAACGTGTTAGGATTACAGGCGTGGGCCACCACACCCGGCCAAAGTTTTTTGTTTTTCAGTTTTTTTTTTAATCATCATCTGAACATGGCCTGGGATCAGAGAAGTTTTGACTTGCTGTAGGATGAAAATATGAATGTATCGTATGTATTTGTTCCTCAGTTATACGTAGAGAATTTGTTCTGGGACTGCCTGACTGCCTGAATATACCCAAATTGCACATACTCAGGTTCCACTGTTGGCCCCGTGGAACCTGCAAACATGAAAAGTTGGGCCTCTGAATATGAAGATTTCACATATCTCAAATACTGTATTTTCAGTCTGCATCAGTTGAAAGCCAGATATAAGTGAACCAGCACTGTTCAAACCTATATTGTTGTAGAGTCAACTATATCTGTTTTTTGTTGATGAAGTCAAATTGTGAATTGTCCATTGAAATTTCTGTAAAAACTGGTAAATATACATCATCTAAAGATGTTATCTTCAATCTCTTTTAAAAAAGGAAACAAGATACACATGTAAATTAAATTGTTAGTGAAAAGTAAGCAATACTAAGGAAATATTTCAGTACATTTACAGCCTGCAATAAACGTATTTTTGAAAAGTTGGGCTGTTCCAAAAGAGAGCACTCTTTTAGGGTAGTTCAGCAATAAACCTTGGGCTAAGTGAAAATTATTCCCTACTCATCTGATTGAGTTGTCTTGTTGAGAATTGCATATTTTTACCCAAAGAAAGAAATTGTGGGTTTTGCCTTTCACATATATTTCAGTAGCCTTCACCATTCAAGTCTCTTCAATTTCTAAATGACTTTTTGTAAATGATATTGAAAAACTACTTTTATAACATTTAAAATACACACTGTATCATAATTTCTTAATTATTTTTATTTTAAGGAAGAAGAAGTTTCTCCGCAACTGTTTACTTTCCATGAAGCTGTCTCACAAATGGTAGAAATGGAAGAACAAGTTGTAGAAGATCACAGGGCAGTGTTCCAGGTAAAGTAAGACAGGACTTTTCATCAAAATATTTCTTGAGATAAATAATTTTTTTAAATTCCTTAAATATCACACTATTCTTTAAGAAAATATGGGCCGGGCTTGGTGGCTCACGCCTGTAATCCCAGCACTTTGGGAGACCGACGCGGGTGGATCATGAGGTTAAGAGATCGAGACCATCCTGGTCAACATGGTGAAACCCCATCTCTACTAAAAATACAAAAAATTAGCTGGGCATGGTGGTGCATGCCTGTAATCCCAGCTACTCAGGAAGCTGAGGCAGGAGAATTGCCTGAACCCAGGAGGCAAAGGTTGCGGTGAGCCGAGATCGCGCCATTGCACTCCAGCCTGGGTAACAAGAGCGAAATTCCGTCTCAAAAAAAAAAAGAAAATATGTATTTATATATATGTATATGTGTATTTATAAGGCATATGGCATGACAAATTTTGAATACAATGAATGAGGGCTACAAATAACATTTCTTTGCACCATGGTGAAAGATTCTACTTTGTTTACCTCCCATCCTCTTTATTGGTTTTTGTCGTTTGTCCATTTTTAGAGAAGAGTTGCACCAGTACTTCTTTCTAAATGTTAGGCCAATTTATTTGATAGCAGTTAAGAAAAACTCTTATGAAGGGTTTTGGAGCAGTTGAGGAAATATCAGTTGTTGCAGAAAAGATAGACTACTTCATGAGATTGAGAGTTACTGCTCTGAGCTGTCAGTGGCAAGTTGAGTGAAGGGCCTTATGTCACCACCCTTAGGCAGTAACTCCTTAGGCATTCATCCTATTATGCATTCAACCTGTTAAAAGTATTTAGTATGTGATACTCTGCTCCCCTTTTTTTTAAACAAGAAAATGTCCTATCATGGTGATATTTGAGGAATTGAAGATATCATTTGTACATCTTTATGAAGACTATACAGTTGACTTGCTTTGCACTCTGCTGCCCTCAACCCTCCTGAAGTATTATGAACACTTGAGAAAAAAGCAGTACCTGTCTCCCTTACTGACCTGTATTTTTTCTTTGATGTTGAAGAAATCTTTGTCACTAACCAAAGGAACTTCAGCTCTAGATCATTCAAGAACTTGGATAAAGGGCTCAAAAATGACAGAGAACACTTTATGTCAGATTAGGATACACATTCATTAAAACTATTAGAGTTTGGCCAGGTGCAGTGGCTCATGCCTGTAATCCTAGCACTTTGGGAGGCTGAGGCTGGTGGATCATTTGAGCCCTAGGAATTTAATACCAGCCTGGGCAACATGCTGAAACCCTGTCTCTACAAAAAATACAAAAATTATCTGGCCATGATAGAGCACACCTGTAGTCCCAGCTACTTAGGAGGCTGAGGTAGGAGGATTCCTTGAATCCAGAAGGCAGAAGTTGCAGTGAGCTGAGATCGCACCACTGCACTCCAACCTGGGCGGCAGAGTGAGACCCTGTCAAAAACCAAAAACTCTATAGAGTTTTAGTCAAATTCTTATTATGAGAATTTCTCTAGAAGCCCAGTTGTTTGAGAAGAGAAAGGACACTAATAATTTAAGAAAATTACACACATGTCATCCCAGCACTTTAGGAGGGCAGGGTGGGTGGATTGCTTGAGCCCAGGAGTTCAAGACCAGCCTAGGCAACATGGCAAAACCCCATCTCTGTTTAAAAAAGAAAAGAAAATTGTCATCTGTGCCCTTTTGGAACAAGTTGTCATATAAAGACCATCATTTCCCACTCTGCCATTTTTTAGATAAAGTCTTACAGCTGTTTATTGGTAAAATTGGGTATTCTGACTTTCAACCCAGTATTCTTTTTACAATTCCCTATATCATTCCTCTATATTAGAATCTGCCATTTCACAAAATAAGGTTTTTTTTGTGGTTTTTTTTTTTTTTTGAGATGGAGTTTCGCCCTTGTTACCCAGGCTGGAGTGCAATGGCGCGATCTCGGCTCACCGCAACCTCCGCCTCCTGGGCTCAGGCAATTCTCCTGCCTCAGCCTCCTGAGTAGCTGGGATTACAGGCACGTGCCACCATGCCCAGCTAATTTTTTGCACTTTTAGTAGAGACGGGGTTTCACCATGTTGACCAGGATGGTCTCGATCTCTCGACCTCGTGATCCACCCGCCTCGGCCTCCCAAAGTGCTGGGATTACAGGCTTGAGCCACCGCACCCGGCCCAAAATAAGGTTTTGTTAAACCAAAATTAAGTGTATAGCTGAAGGAAAAGGTAAGAAAAATTGGAGTATATGGCTGGGTGTGGTGGCTCATGCCTGTAATCCCAGCGCTTTGGGAGGCCAAGGCGGGCAGATTACCTGAGGTCGGAAGTTTGAGACCAGCTTGACCAACATGGAGAAACCCCGACTCTACTAAAAATATAAAATTAGCTGGGCATGGTAGCGCTAATCCCAGCTACTCGGGAGGTTGAGGCAGGAGAACTGCTTGAACCCAGGAGGTGGAGGTTGCAGTGATCCTAGATCACACCATTGCACTCCAGCCTGGGCCAGGAGAGTGAAACTCCATCTCAAAAAACAAGAAAGAAAAATTGGAGTATATTTGTATTTTCTTTTTTGTTTTTGTTTTTTTTTTTTCTTTTTGGTATATTTGTATTTTCTAATTAATATATGTTTCCTAATCAGGATACATACCTAAGTTAACCAGTTCTGTCTGGTGCTAGTCTAGTTATAATTAGTCATTAAAGTCAATTGATGTTTGAAAAATTGAGATTGTATGCATCCTAAAAGCAAATCCACATATAAGAACTTTTATGTCCAAAAAGCTCTTTAATTCAGAATGATGTAGTCTTGTTTTGGGTTTTGTTTTGAGACAGAGTCTCGCTCTGTCGCCCAGGCTATAATGCAGTGGCATGATCTCAGGTCACTGCAACCTCCCGTATCCTGGGTTCAAGCTATTTTCCTGCCTCAACCTCCCAGTAACTGGGATTACAGGCATGTGTCACCCCACCTGGCTAATAATTTGTATTTTTAGAAGAGACAGGGTTTTACCACGTTAATCAGGCTGGTCTCGAACATCTGACCTCAAGTGATCACCTGCCTCAGCCTCCTAAAGTGCTGGGATTACAGGTGTGGGCCACCATGCCCAGCCGAAATTTACCTCTTGACCCAACCACTGTAGGTCCCTAATTGGATATGGTTTTTTTTTTTTTGAGACGGAGTTTCGCTCTTGTTACCCAGGCTGGAGTGCAATGGCGTGATCTCGGCTCACCGCAACCTCCGCCTCCTGGGTTCAGGCCATTCTCCTGCCTCAGCCTCCTGAGTAGCTGGGATTAGAGGCACGCGCCACCATGCCCAGCTAATTTTTTGTATTTTTAGTAGAGACGGGGTTTCACCATGTTGACCAGGTTGGTCTCGATCTCTCGACCTTGTGATCCACCCGCCTCGGCCTCCCAAAGTGCTGGGATTACAGGCTTGAGCCACCGCGCCTGGCCTGGATATGTTAATTTGTCAGGTTCTAGGCTTCCTTCATAGCCCCTATCAAATTGCTCAGTAGCTTTATTGGGCATATTCGTCCCGTTTTAGGAACAGCTGTTGAGGTTTTGAGACTTACTCTGCTCTTTGATATTGATGTATTTGATGCATTCCCTCCACTAAATTCCCATCCAAAGTAGAGTAAAAGTAGAGAAATGAAATGATCTTGCTCAGCCCATCTTTCATGTTTTTGTGTTAAGTTTTACGGACATACAGTTGACCCTTGAAAAACTTAAAGAGTGTTAAGGACACTGACCCCCAGTGCAGTTGAAAATATGTATAACTTTTGAGCACCCCCTGCAAACTTAACTATTAATAGCCTATTGACCAAAAGCCTTACCAATAACATAAATGTCTATGAATACATTTTTTGTATTACATATATGTTATATATGTTATATAATGTATTCTTAACACAAAGTAAGCTAGAGAAAAGAAAATGGTATGAAGAAAATCATAAGGAAGGGAACCATATTTACTATTCATTAAGTGGAAGTGCGTCATCATAAAGGTTTTCATCCTCATCATCTTCACATTGATTAGGCTGAGGAGGAAGAGGTGGGCTGGACCCACTTTCTCAGGGGTGGCCGAAGTGGAAGAAGTAGAAGGGGTGGCAGGAGAGGCAGGCACATTCAGTGTAACTTTCATTGAAAAAAATCCAAATATAAGTGGACCCACACAGTTTAAATCCATGTTGTTCTAGAGTCAACTGTATTTCTTAATTGTACTGTCTGTGAATAAAGATGTTTTATGTCTATTGACATTTTAGAGAATACTCTCTTAAGTACGTTTGATTATATTTAACAGAATTGTAATTTGGTTTCTGTTTTACAAAGCGGCTTGTTGGATTATCGAATTTTTGTCCTTGCAGGAATCTATTCGATGGTTAGAAGATGAAAAGGCTCTCTTAGAGATGACTGAAGAAGTAGATTATGATGTCGATTCATATGCCACACAACTTGAAGCTATTCTTGAGCAAAAAATAGACATTTTAACTGAGCTGCGGGGTAATTCTTTTTCCATTTTAATTTTTGAAATCTGATTGATATTGGTATGTATTAGTGAGAGGGTTTCATATTGCAAGAGGACATATGAAGTGAAAATTAGGGGCACTGTTTAGCACCTACTTTCCGGAGGTATAAAGACAGCTAACCATTCTGGTTTTTCTGAAAGTCATGGCATATCATTTCAAGTTTTCTCTAGTCATCTTTCTTTTCTTATTTTAAGACAGACATCTTAAAGAGATAAAATGTATCTTTAACAAATTTATAAATTTTATATACCTATTCAGATCTTAATTTGATAGGCTGATGCTTATGAGAATTATCTTCTTTCTTTTTTTGGGTCTCACTCTTGCCCAGGCTGGAGCACAGGGGTGTGATCATGGCTCACTGCGGCCTCAATCTCCTGTACTCCAGCAGTCCTCCCACCTCGAGTAGCTGGGACTGCAGGCACGAGCCACCACACCCAGCTAATTTTTATTTTTTTGTAGGGATGGGGTGTTGCTGTGTTGTGCACACTGTTCTCAAACTCCTAGGCTCAAGCAATTCCCCTGCCTTGGCCTCCCATAGTGCTGGGATTACAGGCATGAGCCACCACACTTGGCCTCTGTGCCACTTTTTTTAAATGAAGTGTCAAGATGACTACTCTGTATACCTTATTCATGAAGGGAAGCGTATGCGTTACCTACTAAACCGTGTCCTTTTGTTTTTTTGGTTAGCTTATCTGTGTAGCTTCAGCTATGCATTACTTCATGTGTTACTTTTTAGGCATTTGTACACTATTGGCTCTGTTTATGTGTAAGTGAGCATCTGTATGTGTGTGTACATGCAATCCAACATAAGCTAGAAGTAAATTCCTAGTTTGGGGCAGTTAAATAAGCTGCTTAATTTTTTTAAGGAGGCCCTTTATGAAGTTGGTTAGTTGGTTTGAACGGTTATTTTTCTTTCAAATTTATTTACTTATTTAAATTGACATCCCAGCCTGGACAATATAGAGATCCTGTCTCTAAAAAATATTTTTAAAATTAGCCAGGCATGGTGGCACCCGCCTGTAGTCCCAGCTACTCAGGAGGCTGAAGAAGGAGGATCACTTGATCCCAGGAGTTTGAGGCTGCAGTGAGCTAGGATCATGTCACTGCACTCTAGTTTGAGCAACACAGTGAGATCCTGTCTCAAAAAAATTAAAAATTGACAGATTAGCCGGGCGCGGTGGCTCAAGCCTGTAATCCCAGCACTTTGGGAGGCCGAGGCGGGTGGATCACGAGGTTAAGAGATCGAGACCATCCTGGTCAACATGGTGAAACCCCATCTCTACTAAAGGTGCAAAAAATTAGCTGGGCATGGTGGCGCGTGCCTGTAATCCCAGCTACTCCGGAGGCTGAGGCAGGAGAATTGCCTGAACCCAGGAGGCGGAGGTTGCGGTGAGCCGAGATGGCGCCGTTGCACTCCAGCCTGGGTAACAAGAGCGAAACTCCGTCTCAAAAAAAAAAAAATTGACAGATTAAAAATGTATTAGGTACAACATGATATTTTGAAGTATATACAAGTTGAGTATCCCTTATCTGAAAACTTGAAACAAGATTGTTTTGGATTTCAGATTTTTGAATATTTGCATTATACCAAAAGTTTGGGATTTCAGGTTTCAGGGTTTTTTTTTTGTTTTGTTTTTGAGACGGTTTCTCACTTTGTCACTTTGTGCAGTGGCCATCTTAGCTCACTGCAGCCTCCATCTCCCACCATAACTTTTAAGAAATTACTATCTAGACATACTGTATTATTCATGCAATTCTCCTGCCTCAGACTCCCGAGTAGCTGGGATTACAGATGTGTACCACTGTACCTAGCTAATTTTTGTATTTTTAGTAGACAGTGTTTCACCATATTGGCCTGGCTGGTCTTGAACTCCTGACCTCAGGTGATCCACCCATCTCGGCCTCAAAGAGTGCTGCAATTATAGGTGTGAGCCACTGCACCCTGCCACATTTTTGGATTTGAGGTATTCAGCACATACATGTTGCTGACTGGTTATAAAGTTAGTTATTTGAAATCATATTCTGTAAAGTCTGCAGTGACTATTAAACTACAATTTTCATTTATTTCTCATATTGTTCATATTCAAGCCTTTATTTAAATTGTTTTTTTCATTTTTCTAATTTGCAGTAATTTACTATCAGCTTCTGTATCCATTCAGAAGACAGGTCATAATATACTCTAGTATTTTTTCTTTGTAGCATTCAACTTAATTGACATCCTTTCCTTTTCTCAAATTTCATGTATATCAAGCATATCCATAACTTATAAAAAATTACTATCCAGCTATATTGGCATTATTCAGTCCTTAGAATTTTTTTTAACCACTCAGAGATAAATTTGAGATTCATAAGAACAATTTGGGCTGGGCGCCTATAATCCCAGCACTTTGGGAGGCCGAGGCAGGTAGATCACCTGAGGTCAGGAGTTCAAGACCAGCCTGGTTAATATGGTGAAATCCCATCTCTACTAAAAATACAAAAATTAGCCGGGCATGGTGACATGTGCCTGTAGGCCCAGCTACTCAGGAGGGTGAGGCAGGACGATCACTTGAACCCGGGGGGAGGAGGTTGCAGTGAGCCAAGATCGCACCATTGCACTCTAGCCTGGGCAAATGAGCAAGACTCTGTCTCAAAAAAAAAAAATAAAATAACAGTTTGAGAGCACCAAATCCAGAAGTCCTTAAATTTATTTCTAAATTTCAAAAGTTAACTTTTTAAACATCACTGTACTTCAAAAAAAGGGGAGGAAAGTTGAGATTGCAACTTTTTCTTCTGAAATCTATGGAGTAGGGTTTTGTAACCTTGGCACTATTAACAACACTTGGGGCTATGCAGTTTTTTGTTGAGGAGTGTTATCCTGTATCTTATACGATATTTACCAGCATTGTTGGTCTCTGTCTACTACATGACAGTAGCACCACACCAGTTGAAATAACCAAAAATGCCTCTAGACATTACCAAATGCCCACTGGGGGCCAAAAATCACATTCAGTTGAGAGCCACTGTTATTGAAAGATGGCTTATCTTCATAGCTGCATATAATTTGTCTGACAATTTACTAACCTATTTTTAGTTCTTATATGACTCTAGATCAGTACATGACTGAAAAGAATGTGTAAAAGCAAGAAATACCTCGTTTTGAGCTGGGCGCGGTGGCTCAAGCCTGTAATCCCAGCACTTTGGGAGGCCGAGGTGGGTGGATCACGAGGTCAAGAGATCGAGACCATCCTGGTCAACATGCTGAAACCCCATCTCTACTAAAAATACAAAAAATTAGCTGGGCATGGTGGCACATGCCTGTAATCCCAGCTACTCAGGAGGCTGAGGCAGGAGAATTGCTTGAACCCAGGAGGTGGAGGTTGCGGTGAGCCGAGATCGCGCCATTGCACTCCAGCCTGGGTAACAAGAGTGAAACTCCGTCTAAAAAAAAAAAACTTCGTTTTGTCATCCCTACTTCATAATCTCCCTTCCTCACAATGAGGAAAAAATGTAAATTTCTAAAAATTCAAATACATTTTAAATCTTTATAGCCTAAGGTGAAATTGGAGGGCTGGGCGTGGTGGCTAACGCCTGTAATCCCAGCACTTTGGGAGGCCAGGACTGACAGATCACGAGGTCAGGAATTCGAGACCAGCCTGGCCAACATGGTGAAACCCCGACTCTACTAAAAATATAAAACTTTAGGGTTTTATATTTTTGTTGGGTGTGGTGGCATGCTGTCTGTAATCCCAGCTACTCGGGAGGCTGAGGCAGGAGAATTGCTTGAACCTGGGAGGCAAAGGTTGCAGTGAGCTAAGATTGTTGCACGCCAGCCTAGGCAACAGAGAGAGACTCTGTCTCAAAAAATAATAATAATAATAGGTATTTCTGGAAATCTGTAACAAAACTTTTGCAATAGTTGAACATTATATTTAGTTCTGAGTTTCTAGACAACAAAGAACAAAAGGAAAAATACTGTTACTGTTGTAAACTCTTATTGCATGTAACACAATACTTATTCCCTCTCTTTTCTTTTTCCAAGATAAAGTGAAATCTTTCCGTGCAGCTCTACAAGAAGAGGAACAAGCCAGCAAGCAAATCAACCCGAAGAGACCCCGTGCCCTTTAAACCGGCATTTGCTGCTAAAGGATCCCCAGAACCCTCAATACTGTAACATACAACAGTTCAGCTGTAAGGGCCATTTGAAAGTTTGAAATTTTAAAGTGTCTGTGGAAAATGTTTTGTCCTTCACCTGAAATTACATTGCAATTTTGTGAAACACTCTTTTGTCTACAAAATGCTTCTAGTCCAGGAGGCACAACCAAGAATTGGGATTAATGAAGCATTTTGTTTCATTTATGCAAATAGTGATTTACTTTTGGAGATCCCTGTCAATTTTATTTCTATATGATGAAGTAAGACTGTAGACTCAATCCAGAGCCAGATAGTAGGGGGAAGCCACAGCATTTCCTTTTAACTCAGTTTAATTTTTATAGTGAGACTGAGCAGTTTTAAATCCTTTGCGTGCATGCATACCTCATCAGTGATTGTACATACCTTGCCCACTCCTAGAGACAGCTGTGCTCACCTTTTCCTGCTTTGTGCCTTGACTAAGGCTACTGACCCTAAATTTCTGAAGCACAGCCAAGAAAAATTACATTCCTTGTCATTGTAAATTACCTTTGTGTGTACATTTTTACTGTATTTGAGACATTTTTTGTGTGTGACTAGTTAATTTTGCAGGATGTGCCATATCATTGAACGGAACTAAAGTCTGTGACAGTGGATATAGCTGCTGGACCATTCCATCTTATATGTAAAGAAATCTGGAATTATGATTTAAAACCATATAACATGTGATTATAATTTTTCTTAGCATTTTCTTTGTAAAGAACTAAAATATAAACTAGTTGGTGTATAATAAAAAGTAATGAAATTCTGAGAAGAGTTTTATCTTAGGAAAATACATATATATGCAGTGTGTGTGCCAGTGTGGTATTAACAAGACTAATAGTGCAATTTGATCCTTACCAATATGATTACTTAATTTGAAGTGTTCATTAGCACCCTAAAATATACCTTTTCTGTGTACTGTTAAAGGAAATTGGCTTCTGATGCATGAACATTTACATGTACATTGAAAGTAGTCCATAATAGAAGTTAGTTTAAGCCAAGTGTAGACAGTACATTACTCCCCTGAAAAAGAATTAAGCTGCAAAAGAGTTGACTTTGCCTTAAAAGGCAGATCTAACCCAAGCTCCATCCAGTACCAAATGTGAAACTTCATCATTATTTGGTGAGAATCACCAAATTCTCACTAATAACATGGGTGTAGGGCGTGCTACTTTTTAAATGGCAGCACTTATTTTTACAGATTGCTACTCTTAAGAAAGAAAACTGGCCACTTTTCATGTAAATATTTTGTTAAAAGATTTTATATATCTCTCTAGGAGTTTTTCCTCAGTTCCCAGGATAGGGTCTGGGAGTAGATTAACAACTAAAATCTCCCAAGGATATCTTGTTTTGATTTATTTACTCCAGGGAACTACCAGCTCATTCATAGGAGCCAAAGGGAAGCTATGAATAGAGAGTCATATGAGCCAGATTCTTTACTTTACTGTTCATAAAACCCGGAGAGTAGTTGTGAAAGATCCTAATACAATTGTGAAAAGCTCTGTAAACATGAAATCTAAAACAAATGTAGATTTTCACAATATGCTTATTAATAAATGAAGTCTATGGAATGAGTTTTAGAGATAATTTACTTCAATACAATCACCTTTATTTTGGAAGGGACTCAGGTTTTCTTGCAGTTGTAAGATACATTCTATTTGTGTTTATTTCAAAGGAAAGAGGAATAATGGAGAACTGTTACAATTGACCTTGCAGAGGCTGTTTTAAAAAGGTAGTTTTTGAGATTAACCAAACTTCAAAGGGCAATAAAGATGTGTGATTTTGCTCATTTTAAAGCACAACAGATTAGCTTCAAATTTATTATTTGCATTGGATGGGTACTATGTTTGGAAAGTCTCCTTATAGACAAATATGCTGCCTTACTCTATGATGGCTTCATTCTGATCCAGTATTTTAAAAATTAGTACCAGAAAAGATCTTGGAAGTAGTATAATACAGTCCTTCAGCTTTACAGATAGTTAAAACTGAAGGCCAGAAAAGGAACTAAGACTCAGCGTTTATAGGGGTAGAGGGAAATGCCCTGAGACAGCCAAGTTAAATGTTAAATTTTTTCTATAAGGATAGAGATGATACAAGTAAACTTTGCAAAATAATTTTGTGAGATTAAACAAAAAAATCTACCCTTATGTATGTTTCATATTTGTTTAAAAAAAGCAGCTTGATGCTTTTGTTCTGGATTAAACGTTAAGAACAAGCATTGTTTTAATTATATAGTAACATTTACTATATGATTTTGAAGCCAGATTTCAAAATCTGGCTTTGTTAAATTAATTGGAAACACTCCTTCTATTAATATTAAGTTAGTTATTTTAAAAAAAAGCCAAATATCAATAAAGATATTTTTATTAATTTTTTATAGAAAAAAATAGCTACTATAATTCTTTATTATAGTATATTAACAGCAGTTAGTATTATATTGATTTAAACATAAGTAGCTAATAAAACTTGTTTATGACATCTATTGAAATTCTCAATCTGACAGTTTTAAAATAGTTTAAAACTAAGCACCAGGTATATGAAAAAAGTACAGGAAGTTTTAGTTATCCAGAAATCATAGGAATACAGGTAACCTGTAGTTATGGGAAATGGCTGTTTTTCTGAAGTTGAAAGCAAACATAAAACCAGTTTCAATTTACAAAACCCTTTGACATTTTGCTTAGTTATCTCCCTAAGAACTAAAAAGATAAAGGTAATTTTATATTAATTTCATTCCAGTTTAGCTTCTCAATATGCCTGGTACTGCATGGTGGCAGTAACAGACTCGGGCTTACCCAGAACCCTAAGTCTATGATGCTGCAGGATAGCGAAAGAGGTAGGCAATCATAACAGACATTGTATAGGATAAATAGGGAAGAGAATGAGAGAAGCAAAATAAAAATAAGAAACAATTGTTTTACTGTACATGTGAATAACAAGAAATGGTATGGGGAATGTGAATAACATGAAATGGTATGGGGAATGTGTGACTAGTGAAGCATATTTTAGCTTTTTTACTACTGGAGGAACAGACCTAAAGACCTAAAGAAGGCCTCACAGTATATTACACAGTAAATAGAAGAGTAACATCTTTATACAATAAACTGTTAGAAATGATAAGTTTAAGTATAAAGTTGTGCGTCTCTGCGGCTCCTGAACATGAAGATTATTATTAATAGATTTGACCTGCTCTGTTATATATTAAAAACAAACCAAAACCAAAAAAAAAAAAAAAACTTGCATACTTAGAACTTTCCAACTTAAAAGATTCAGAATAATAAATGGTGACAGCAGTAGTAGTATTAAACCAAAAATAGTCAAGTAAGGAATATCTCAGTAAAGCAAAAGCATTATCTTCTCAAATATAAAAAATGTAGATTTCTTTCCTTGACCTTGAAAAATTCTGTTTTCCAAATGCCTAGGAAAAATGAATACCTTCTGCGTTGAATCCATGTAGCAATCTGAAAAAAGAAATCAAAATGGAAAGGTACTGAAAAGCTAATTTGTAGCACCTAATGGTATATAGTTCTATACAACTAATTCTGAAAAACATGAACACAGCATGCTTACAGAGCCCACCCACTCCTAATGCTAGTTACTAAAGAAATGTTACTGGCTGGGCATAATGGCTCATGCTTGTAATCCCAACACTCTGGGAGGCTGAGATGGGTGGATCACCTGAAGTTAGAAGTTTGAGACCAGCTTGGCCAACATGGTGAAACCCCATTTCTACTAAAAATATAAAAGCCAGGTGTGGTAGCACATGCCTGTAATCACAGCTACTCGGGAGGCTGAAGCATGAAAATCACTTGAACCTGGGAGGCAGAGGTTGCAGTGAGCTGAGATTGTGCCACTGCACTCCAGCCTAGGCAACAGAGCAAGACTCTGTCTCATAAAAAGAAAGAAACATTACCGTCTGACTACATTTATAAGATAGATATATATTGGTTAAAACAATGCCATGTTGGTGCTTCTTTCATTATAGCCTATATGTTATAATTAATTTGACTAAAATTGTCTTGGACTTTTGTTGTCCCAGGCTAAGAACTCATTGGCACTTGTTTCATTTCAACATGGTAACTGAACAAGAAGCTGTTTGGAACTGGCAGAAGTCAGATGAATGACCAATCTTACATGCCCATTCTTCCTCTCTTGAGCTGTTATTTATATTCAAATTAAATACACATTGTTTCTCTCTGTAGATAACTATGTACTTATTAGATTCTAGTTAGTAAACTGCAAATGCTCAGTAACTTTGAGGAAATTTAGTGAAAATGAAGGAAAAAATAAAACATTTCACTTGAGACCTGAGGTTATTTTTAGGCAGACCCATAGAAACAGGTCCAGATAAATTGTCTAAAAAAGCAAAGTAGGTACTTATGAATAGTATTCAATGCCTAGAATTAACATCAAAAAGACTTAGTAGTACTGCTAGCCACCCAATAAAATATAAACTCCATTTGTATTAGTTATATAGAACTGTGTTTCCAGCTTAGAAAAAGTGAAACTAATGACTTTTATAACAATCCACCCTCATTGTTTATTCAGCTTCTAGAACATGGAAGCTTTAAAAGTGAATTGGCTAAATAGGCAAGAACTTCTGAAAGTTAACATGTTAATGACTAAAAACAGTAAGTAGAGGTTAGTAATTACCTGAATAATTAATTGAAGCCTTATTTTATTTTTGTAAGACTTACTTGCTTAATTCAAGCAAAACAAATTTTTGTCTAAATTACCTAGATAATTTTGACATCTTTTTACCTTAGAAGTGTAGAACTTGCCTCATGCTACAAAAGTAACTATGTATTATTACTAAACAGATAACCAGGTAGGATTGTGACTGACATTATTGTATGCTTAACATTGATTTAACAACAGCTATTCCCAGTAAAGAAATTTTAAAAATCAGATCCAGTTACATGTATTACAATTTTTCTACCTTTGGACTATTTTGGAGGGATAAGTTATTAAGACTAAGACTATGAATGAAAGTTGAGGAAGGAGTGGGAAGGGAGGAACATGCACACCATATTAACACAAAGGCAATCTTCTGGCTTGGACTGTTCTTTACTACTGTTCTTAAAGAAAATGTTCATTCTGCTGCAGCTAAGTAGCCTCCATCTTTTACACCAAATACTATTCCATGCCATGGAAGTGCTATGCAATAACTCTCCCCGGTAGCACCTTATACCGCTTAAAAGCCTTTAAAATCTCTAATCTGGAGGTGTCACAGTAAAGAAATGTCAACACTTAGGAAAGCAAAAATGTAATTACCTGATGAAGTCATCTATGTCCATGGAACGGGCCCGTTTGTCACTAAAGCCTGTGCTGGTTAGGATTTGCTGTATTTTATCTGCTATGCTGAAATCTTCTGGTATTATCTATCAATATAAGATTCAGAATAAATGAACGACATATCTTTAATGAGGTCACTTTGACTCTTTTTTTTAGTTCAGTAAGTCATAAAATAGTCACCTTTAATGTATTTGTTAATGAAAGTTTGGAAAGCCTGACTGTTTATATAAGACTTGGATCTCAAATTAGTTAAGTGGCTGATCTTTATTTACAAAAACTTGAAATACCTTGAATTAGTAATCATGTATATATTAGCCTTTTTCTTCTTTAAAATTCTGAAATAGTTATTAGTTTCAGACTTTACAAATAATTAAAACTGTAAACTAAATATTAAAGCAACTGTTACTCCTTTCAACACATTTCACCTAACCACCTCGTCTTTCTCAAAGATGTGACCTCCCCAAGCCTTGGGAGTTTTAAGGATTTTACCCTTAATTCACATATTTTATTCAAAGATTTTTCTTAATCCAGCTTACTATTTTTCTATTATACTTAGGCAGATTATCTAATGACCTTTTGCCTATAAAAGAGAAAATGGAGCTAGTATTGTGATACATTAAACCATATAGGTTCTCAGTCATTAAAAATACAAAGAAAATTGGCCTTTATCTGTCTTTTCTGTTTAAACTGGAAGCTAAACAGCTAACAAACATCACAATAGACATTGTTACACAAATGATAAGCATGAGGCTCACAATCAGAAATCTGTATTGAGCGTGTGAACTTTATTCTAATTATTTCAATTTCTGGGTATTTAAAAAACTACAAAGAAAATAACTTTATATTTGTAACTGCTATGTGAGCAAAAAACAAGAGATGGTTATAATTCAGAGGACAGTAAATTATATACAATTATCTTAAGTTTTTCAAGCTACACATATCTACAGCTTTGAAGATACTATAACAGCTGAATCCTGTTATGGTTAAAAGCAACTGTCAGTAGTTAGAGGACAGGGTAGAGCAGGCATCCCCAAACTTTTTACACAGGGGGCCAGTTCACTGTCCCTCAGACCGTTGGAGGGCCGCCACATACTGTGCTGCTCTCACTGACCACCAATGAAAGAGGTGCCCCTTCCTGAAGTGTGGCGGGGGGCCGGATAAATGGCCGCATGCAGCCCGCGGGCCATAGTTTGGGGACACCTGGGGTAGAGTAATCAAACTTGCTCATATCTGTTCCACAGGATACACAGCAGCAGTGGCCTGTCAGAGTTCAAGTCAAA